TAAAAAGTTAACAATGCACAAACGGGCACTTTCTTTGTGGTGTGTATATTTTCAATGCAAAATAAAGCTGTACACATTGGATTTGTGCCAGCTTTGAGGTTAGCCCCTGGCACAAAATAATCATGTGTCCTTTACACATTATCAACTATGAACGCTTCATCAAAGTTCTCAACAAGCTCTGGGACATCATCATCAACATCTGCTGTTGTTTGCTTATTGCTGTCAGCAGCACTAGCTACAGTTGATGCTATTTTTAGCGCAATTTCCATACGGACAATTGCGATTATTAACTCGTCATTTCTGTATGTGTGTCCGATATATGGATGTGTGTCCGCAGCTTTAAGTCGTATCTCCTCCTCAACGAAGCAATATCGAGGACTAGTTCCAAAAGCAAATATGTTAAGCACGTTCCGAGGATGAACATTGGCCAAAAAAATTCCCGGAATTCCTTCCTGGATTTCCCGGTAAAGCCAAAAAAACTCGAACAAATGCAGTTTTTGCTCCATATCTCGGCAACCAGACCACTTAGTGACTTGAAACATTTACCAATCGATTCCTGCCATAATTTAGAACAATATTGCCGAAGAAAGTTTTCAAAAATATCCTTTCGTTCGGTCACAAAAATTTTTTTTTTAATTATTTAAACTGAGCATCTTGTAGGCCTAGGATGACATTTTAAACCGAGCATCGTGTAGGCCTACTCGTTAAAATAAAACTATTTCCGTTGATATTTTCTATTACCCCCTACACGTCCGCATATTTTTTTAAATCTCGTCAATAAATATTTTTTCAATTTTTTTTTTTAATTATTAAAACTACTTGTGTTGCATTATTTATTTGCTGAATATATAATTTATCTCGATTTAAAATTGTTATGGATAACATAAGGAAATTGCGCTTAAATTGTCACTAGACTTTTTATTAACTTGTTTTCAAGTTGTTCCAACTCTCTGCTCCAAGTTGATTCAAGATACCAGGAAGCATCTCTGCTATTTGTTTGTTCTCTGCATGACCAGTAATTGCAAAGGTATTTGCAGTCAAAAAAGCTTGAACTTTAGGGTTATTAAAATGAAGTCCTTACAGACAACTTTTTCAGAGAGAGCTGTATTTTCTTATCATCTGTATTAGCAGTGCGATGAATAACCTTCTTCTGTCTTCTGGCTGAACCCTTCCTACCACGAACATTGATTTCTCTGGATTCATTGTTAGTACCTTAAATTGTGTGGGAATATTTCCCACGAGGTGTACAATTTTTTTTTATGATGGCCGCTGTTATTATCCATACGATATTTAAAAAAAAAATTTTTTTGAATTATATGAAGTGAGTAGATATATAGAATGTAATCAAAGACAAATTGAAATAATATTTGTTAAAGCCAGTTTTTTAATATTTTGTAAAAGATTTTAAAAACTTGTTTATAATAATGTAAAAAGTATATATATAATACGTTTAAAAATATTTTAGAAAACGTTTTGCTTTAAAATGTGCACTAAATTATATACTGTATTATAACTCTAGAATCATATGTACTGTTCAAAAGGTTTGACTTGTGTTTGTCAGATAGTTTTTTTTCTTAGTGAATGTTTAGGTTTTTATCTCCCTTTGTCTGGCTAATAGTGATACTTCCCCTTAATATAAATAGAAGGGAAGCAACTCTACATTTTGTGTTTTCCGTCCTATATATCATAGATTGATATGTAAATGTACGAACCCTGTAATTCTGCTAGACCTAGGTTTTGATGCATCCGAAATAAGCGAAAAATGTATTTCCTTTTTATTATCTCAATTTACAAAAAACGTTTTTTTTACATATGCCATAATTTAAGCAATATTTCTAGACAAAATTGCCAATTTATTTAGTTGTTACACCATAATTTATATTTTTAAAAGAGAACATAATGTGTAGTTTATCTGGTTTCTTGAATTTCTTTGTTGTTTTTTTTTTTAAAGTAAGTCAATGTAATAATGGTTACTCGCGATAATTTAATAGGTACATGTCGATGCAAAGTCCTATGACAGTAATGTGATTTTCAAAATTATTTAACACATTTATCTCACAAAAGCAGATCACAGCGTCAACAACAAAAAACTCAACTAAAAGCATTCGAGCGATTTTCCTGATGAAATGACAGTGACATTGATTACACAACTTGTGCCGTCACGTTGCTTTAAACATCAGTTGTAATCTCGACAACTTTACTGTTAACTTTAAATTGAAATATCAATAGTTATGGTGTTTGTTTGCGTTTTTTTTTTAAATGTTTGATTTTGGAAGAATCACATCGGCGGGCCGCTGGTTCTAAGGCTACTAACCCCTTCACTATAATACGGGGGGGGGGGGGGGCATGTAAAATTGGCCAGATGAATACCACTTGTTTTTCTATAATCACTGGAGTTTAATAAAATGCTGTTGATTGTAGGAATACTTTTTAAAATTTTTATTTAGGTGCCCCATCAACGGCATTGCGGAACATTAACACATAATGACACTGATAGTCCCTTACTGGTCAATTGAACCGTTAGCCGTTTTTTTTTTTATTCCCAGAAAATATGTTTTTGTCGTTTGACTCGGATGCCGTCGAACTTACGGGGATTGAAATCCATGAAAAATGACTATGTGTGTAAGAATCGCCTATAATTTTTTTTAAGTTATGGTCATGATTGTTTGGTTGTTTTTTTTCTGTTTTTATTTTCCTGTGTGTTTATTTCAACTTGATATCCAAACAATTATCAACAATTACAAAACTTGTCCTAAAATAATTTTCACTGTATTACTTCCCCTCTCTAATTTTTCCGTGGTATTTGCAAGAACAGTATTGGAGACATTCCCTTCGATTTTAAGACACCACAATAAAGTGTGTACTCTTTAAAATATTACAACTAAAATACAACTTTCGGAGGAGGTTTTTTTTACACGAATTTTTTTTTAAAAAATCATTCCTCGTACTCAATGCGATCTTTATCCGTCATTAGTCAAAAACATGCGATAGAAATTTCATCCACTTCTACCCAACACGTTTGTTTCAAACTTGACATCTATGTCAAGACCAGACGACAATGCACGGTGACATACGATTGTACTTCATTTCTTTTTTTTTTTTTAATATTAAAAATTTAAATAGCTATAAAAAAGTAGGTAGTGACAATAAGGGGGTGACAACTCAAAATCATTGAATGTATTGTCAAAATAGTGTTTTATCTAACAAAATGGTGTTTTAACTAGCAAAATGGTGTTTTAACTAGCAAAATTGTGTTTTATTTAACAAAATAGTGTTTTATCCAACAAAATCAACTAGCAGAATAGTAGGGGGACAGGATGACACTAAACTGAACTGAAAAGGCCTAATTGTCGGAGGGGGATGGTGCCGCCGTTACCGTACCGATTGACACCCGGCATCGTAATCGCCCTGCAACACACATTCGGTACGTTAATTTGATGTGCAAGTGTTTTTAGTCGTGCTTTTTAATATGCTATTCGTGGTAACTAAAAAAACATGTAAAAAGTTCTACAATAACAGGCTTATAAATTCAATAAAAAAAAAAAAATAAAATGTTGTTTATATTTTATATTTAATACACAATTGTTTATATAAATATAAATATAAATATAAATATAAATAGAAGCATGTGGTCCTGCTTATGAAAAGACCTTTGCTAAACTTTTATGAGCGACCCACCTTCTCTCGCTTGATTTGCCCGGCTTAAATTGAATACTTAATAGGTCACTATTTTTCAGACCTTGTAAAATTCTGACCAGTAGCTCTTTCAAAAAGTTGTTGTGACAAAACTTTTAATATATACTGAAATATAAGCCGTTTAAAAAAAGCCTTGGCGTTTTTAAAAGTACCGAAAAATTCAAAGTGGCAACGGTTTTTAATCGTCTCTTGGGGGGGAGGGCAATTTTTTTCCATCATTATATATATATATATATATATATATCTACTAGCTGTATGTCATTGCCTCGCTATGATGTAAAATAAATTGAAAGTAGCACTCTGAAGAAATAAGGGGGAAAAAACACAATCTCACAATAAAACCAAAAACAATGAACGCAACACAATCTGGTTTGTAATTCTTATAAAAAAAGCAATCTAACAATGATTCCTAGAATATTAATTAAGACAAGCGAACTAGTGGAAATAATCATTCTCTTAATATAAATATGTATAACTTCATTTACTACTGTGTACTGTCCGGTCACTTTAGGTAATTAACCTACCCAGGAGTGACATTAATGTCGCTCTACACAATTAAGGCCTGTCCCGTTTTAGGTGGTGAGGTGGGGGGGGGGGGGCAACTCAGAGTGGACATAGGTTTTAGATGACTTTTCTAAACATACATATACAATTATACATATATACTGATTCAGAAAAAGATTTAAATAAGTAACAGTGGTATTATGACAGTAAAATTTTTTTTACAGAGGGGTCCATGGGGGGTTGTCATGGGGGGGTTGTAACACCCCCCCCCCCCCCCCCGCGCCTACGCCACTATTTCCATGACAGCCAAAATTGTTTTCAACCCCTATTTTTTCGGTTTAATTCTTACTTTCATGTGCCAAACACGGTAAAAGTATCCAACAGTTTTAGATCTTAAATTGTAAAAAAAAATAGAAAGGAAATGAGCATATCCCCGAGACTGATTAAGATTTAGACATTAAATTTAAATCTACATTAATTTATTTTGCATCGTGAGTTTAAAAAAAAATAGATGACTGAAGTTTGAAGCCATTTAGAAATCAGAATTTAGGCTAGTTCTAGAATCTAAATTTATTTTTCAGGGAGAGGAAAGAATAAGCATAGGTCACTTAGAGGAATTGAACGAATTTCTAAAAAAATTATGGGCAGCTAAAAATACATTTTAAAAATTACTTTTAATAGAATAACTAATCTAGAGGACAATTTAACTAATTATTTTAAAAACTTTAAAAATAAATCACAAATTATTCGTGACAATTAATGGGTAGACTTTTTAAGATTTTATCTTATTAAAAAGAAGAAGCGGAAAGAGAAACCGGAAACAGTTACAACACATGTTTATGTTTCACTTTTCCTTGTGTGCCCATCAATATTATTAGATTAGATGCACAAACTTTATTGATTTCAAAATATTAACAATATCCGTACGTAAATAATAACAACAATATACACATAACACATATTAAAACTATTCAGTTAGCGTTGCTTTAAAACTTTTATACTTGAGCACTTAAGTTAGTGAAGCAAAGCGCGAGAGCGAGTGAGTGTACTGTGGGGTAAAACTCCATTTTAGCATATTTTATTCCCCCCGCTTCACGTGCACCTCCAGTTGAGCGTATTTTATTATAAACACAACCGAAACACACAAAAACCTTAGGAAAACACTAGATCTAGATCAACTTATTTTTTTATGAATGTGATTTTTAATTAGAAAAGGTAAAAAAAAACACAAAAAAGCAATCAAATTAAATATCGTTTGATCGTCAGTGGGAGAAAAATCCTTACACGGTTGCGGGTTCACCGTGAGTTCACATTGACTTTAATTATCAGCATACGTCATAACTCTGGCAATCCCAATAGATCTAGCTGTTTGAAATTGTGTTGGCCTCAGTTTTGGGGTCATTGTAAGTTCATAAATATTTATTTAGGCCTATAGATCTAGTATCATTCCTGAGAGATACTTGTAACAATAGAAACTTAACCGCCTTGCAATTGTGAGTTACGTTTACGTACTTTACCCATCGCCATGAAAATTCTGACACATGGACATAGCACATTCAATATTCTAAATTTGGCTTTTTCTCAAGTTTTGACAAAAGTAAATTATCAAAATCTAAAAAGAAGTCAGTCTCTTTGTTTTTTTTCATTTTTATTCAATTGTTAAAACAAAAATACAATACAAATAAATAAATCGTGTTTTCCTAATGTTTTGGTGTGTTTCGGTTATTATAATAAAATACGCTCAACTGGAGGTAAACAAGCAGCGGAGAATAAAATACGCTAAAATGGAGTTTTACTGTACTGTGGTGTTCCAGGTCCAAACAAATTAAATAATACATAGTGGCGAGACCCTTGTGATCAACGTACCCTCTAAGGGGAAAAGGCTAGTGTGGAACTTGTATTTTGTGTGCGCAGTGTTCTAAAAGTCTTATACAAGGATATATGTATCTTACAAAAGGACTGCGCGGCAGATTCAAAACTACTACGCAGCTAAGCGGGAACACTGTGAAGAGTGAGATCTAGATCTAGTAAAGTGTGACACTCTGCAACTACTTTGATGACTAGAATTTAAAAATCCGTTTTAAAAAAAAAAGTTTGATAGCTTTTTGTCTGGGTACTTTGTCTGGATGTAATCTATTCGATAGTGAATTGTAGACTACTTGAAGAACTGAGATCTTTAGTAGCCTTTCATCTGGTGTAGGCAGAGTTTAACTCTGAACTAAAACATTAGTTTGAGTCATTGCATAGTTTTAATTTTGTTCATAAAGGGGGGGGGGGGGCGGGAACTTAACTGTGATGAATGAAAGCTTTGCAGATCTCACTGAAGCTCATTAATAAAAATGGAGGTTTAACATTGCTATGCCAGACAAATGTTACTGTAATAAATTGACTTTAACTAGCACTAATTGTGAGACATGGTATCAAGACTTCAGCCAACAATTTTTAATGTACTAAATAAATTACTGGCCAAGAACTTCTAAGCTATTAGAATGTCTATTGTACCTATATTGTCAATAGTTGACAGTCTTTTTTCTTCTCCAGATGCTGTATAGGAAATAATGGGTGTAACAAAACAGTATTTAAGAGTTGCGCCAGGTCCTGTGTTTGGCCTAGTAGCAAGTCAGAAGAGTAACCTGGTCATTTTAGCTGGCGAGAAAAATACTCTGTGTGCTGTTGGGGCCTGTGAAAATGTCTACCTCTGGGACCTAACTACTAAACAAAAGGTCAATATTATTATATTTCGTTATTATTAATATTAAGCTTTTTAAAAATTATTTCTGTTTCCAAACTAAGCTATGTAGACATTAGTTAAGCTTTTTTTACTCCTGGTAGTAAAAAATACTATTTACAGTACTAAATATTTTTATAGGAGATTATTTGATTTACTGTCATTGATTATTGAACTGTTTTGTTTTGATCTAAATGTGGCCCGGGCTACTTTCCCTAGGTTTCTACACTAACTGGTGACAAGCACGAGGTGACATGGTTGGTGAAGAGCCCCATAGCCAACCACATGGCAGTCGGCTACATGGATGGCACCATCAAGATTTTCAACCTTGATACCTGCCAATGTGAGGTCACCTTTCAAGGCCATAAAGCCTCTGTGACCTCTATGACGTATGACTATTCAGGCATGAAATTAGCCTCAGGTTCAAAGGTAATATACTATAAATAGTTTGACAATAAATAGTGCTGTTGTTTTATATATCGTATTAACAATGACCAGTGTACACATTATCACAGTATGGAGAATTAGACTTCAACATTTGGCATTACTCACAAATGAGAGCAAGATAAGTGTAAGAGTTGGTTAGTCAACTTGTTTTAATGAACAACTGGTTCTTGTCTTAGGATACAGATGTTATTGTCTGGGATGTTGTCAGTGAATCTGGGCTTTACAGACTAAAGGGACATAAGATGGAGATAACTCAGGTGTCATTTCTCAAAAACAGAGAAATACTTGTTACAAGGTAGGTTTTAATTGTGGGATGTTATTGGAGATTTAGTTTATTGTTGTGTTGATATAATTTTGGTCATTCCGATGTTCTAGTAATTTAGTAGATCATCTTGTATATCATTGTTGTCACTTTTATGGGCTGGATTTTTAGATACTGATATGAATAAGGTTGTTGTCAATTTTATGGGCTGGACGTTTAGAATACTGATATATTTAAGGTTGTTGTCACTCGGATAGGCTGGAAGTTGAGAATATTGATGTTTTCAAGGGTGTAGCCCTAAGTTAGATGTTTGGTAAAAAAAAAATGTGTATGATTTCCTTACCTCTAACGTTGCTGTTTTTCTCAGTTCTAAAGATACTTTCATCAAATTCTGGGACTTGAGAACCCAGCATTGTTTCTACACTGTGGTAGGCCACACAACTGAAGTGTATGGCTTCCTCCTACTGCGGGATGAGACACGCCTGGTCTCCGGCTCGGCTGACAGTGAGTTGAGGATCTGGGATATACACTATCTGGACTCTGAGGTCAGTTCCTAGAGCCACAAAATGTTTATATTGTTTTTCCTATTTACATGTCCCAGCCAAATATAATTGAGATTCTATTCAAGAATTAAATGTAGAATTATATTGTTGGCAGCAAGAAGATGAAAATGAACCAACAGCTAAAAGGCAAAGAATGGAAGTTGATGATGCTGGTAGTGATGAGGACAATGATGAAGAAAAGACAGAAAAAGAAGCAATGGTATATTAATAAAACTGTCGTTTTAAAATATAGATGTTACTTTCTAATGTTCAGGGACTTTTGAAAGTCAATCTTGTTTCTGGTAGCTTACTTATCAGCTATGTTTTATATTTTTGTACTATTCTTTTTTCTTACTTGCTTTTTCTAGCTTATACTATTGAATATGTTTAGTGGTGTTATCCTGTTAATGATGCTGCTAGTATTTACTCATCTTGCCAATTGTAAGTAATGTCCCCTTTTGAACCTGACAATCCATGGGGCAAATGAAATAGAGTTCTCCTGTTGCTCTGCTTTTGGGCATATGAAGGGATAGTGTGGTCAACACTATACCCAGCGTTCTATGGATTTTCGGGTTAGCAGTTGTATGCTCTACCGTTCGACCATGCCGTCCTATTTACGTATCTTGCTAACTGTGTTGCTAGTATTGTTTACTGTCTTGCTTGTGTTATTTGCCTCTATAGCTTATATTGATTACTGTTGTGCTTGTATTGTTTACCGTCTTGCTTGTGTAATTTACCTTTATGCTGTATTGTTCTCAGAGGATACTGGTGTGCAAGAAGGTGGGGTCAGTGATGAGGCAAGGCAGAACAAGACTGGTCACTCTGTGTGTGGACCCTCAAGAAAAATTGCTTTTATGTCATGTTAGTTTGTTTTAGTTTTTTAATGTTGTTTGGTTCACAATGTATGGAGACTGATCTGGCAATATTTTTCTCTTGTGTTATGTCAGTTTGGACAGACCTGTATGAATAGAATCACATTTAAACTTATAACTTACCATGGTTTGAGTCTAGCTTTACTGTTTAAAACAAACATGCTAATATCTATGATTTTGAACTCAAGATATATAGAGAGTATCAATCTAATTTTGTACATGTGTTCACCTGATAACCTTTAGGGTACTGATAAAAATTTGGAAGTCTTTGAGTTGCCATCTAAAGATGATTTACTTAAACTCAAGGCAAAAAAGATCAAGAAACTACGCAAGAAGCATCTGTAAGTAGAAATCATAAGACTATTATTAGGAAAGTAATCTATGTAATTAATTAAATTACAATTTGGTTAGCACAATTTATCATGGCCAAATAAATACCTTGAATTCTTAAAAGTAAATTTGGCTCTGGTCTGGTCCATAAATGACATGCATACCTTATCTCTCTCATCACACATCATCCATTGGTCCAAACACCACCACCACATCTGTTATGTAACATTAACTGACGATCCTTATGCACCATATTTTTTCAAACAAAAATTGTGTTGTTTTGTTGTGATCAATCATACCTCTGCAACTAGTACAAAGTACCACTTCTTTCTTGCTATTGTGTTTCCTAGAATATGGTTTTTTACTGCAGGGAATCGGGACAAGAAGTGGATACAACCAATGTTACTTTAAAACTTGAGGATGAAATCAAGTTCGTCGAGACTTTTCGTTTCTCATCCAAACTTTGTTCTGTACACTGTACCATTGAAAAAAATAATCACAGGGTAAAACTATTTTTCTCTTAGTCTCCACCTGTAGAATCAGATGTTAAATTGTTTCACAGCTGTTCTACCTGTGAAATAATCATTTTAACACACTTTTGTTTTGTGCTCGACAGTTTTGCGTCTTATTTTCTAACAACAAGATAGAGACTGGAGTTTTCTCCTTACAAAAACATGAAGTAGAGATGAGCTCTGTCACACCATTGGCTCAGGCTGGACATCGCTCAGATGTGAGGACATTGGCCTTCAGCACAGACAACATCTCCATATTGTCAGCCAGCGCTGAGGAGGTCAAGATTTGGAACAGGTACTAACAGATGTCTCACAAGTAGCTAATGTTCATTTGAGATGCGTTATAGTTTCTCATGTTGACTTGACACACATGCTAACCATGTTGACTTGACACACATTTTTAGTTTCTCAATGTTGACTTGACATGCATGTTATAGTTTCTCAATGTTGACTTGACATACGTGTTATAGTTTCTCAATGTTGACTTGACACCCATGTTTATGGTTTCTTAATGTTGACTTGACATGCATATTATGGTTTCTGAATGTTGACTTGACACCCGTGTATGGTTTCTTAATGTTGACTTGACATGCATGTTATAGTTTCTCAGTGTTGACTTGACACATGTTATAGTTTCTCATTGTTGACTTGATACACACTGTATAGTTTCTCATTGTTGACTTGATACACACTGTATAGTTTCTCATGTTGACTATCCTTTGATGACTGGTTGATTTCCTCAGGGACTCGCTGCGGTGCGTGCACACTCTGCCTTGTGAATATGCCCTTTGCTCTCTGTTTGTCAGTGGAGACAGACATGCTGTCATTGGCACAAAGGTTAACATTCTTTCACACACTTCTTAATTATTGAAACTTAAAGTTCACAAAAATTTAAAAAATCCTAGTTTCAAAATAAATTGTTAAACTTGTTTCAAACAAACTGTCTTGGGGTATTTTAAAAATATATGTTCCAATTGATTTGGTAAAATTAATGCCTCTTCATTTTTTTTAAAAAATAGATGATTTGATAAAAACAAACTTGTTTTCAGAGTGGAAAACTGTTCCTGTTTGATATCAATCAAGGGGCGCTACTGGAGTCTATAGAGGCTCACAGTGGAGCTCTCTGGTCTATCACAGCTATGCCAGATAAGGTTAGTAAACACATTGAGGTATTTGATGGCCATGGTAATCATATCACATAAACACATTGAGGTATTTGCTGACCATGGCAATCATAGCACATAAACACATTGAGGTATTTTCTGACCATGGCAATCATAGCACATAAACACATTGAGGTATTTTCTGACCATGGCAATCATAGCACATAAACACATTGAGAGATTTACTGGCCATGGTAATCATATCACATAAACACATTGAGATTTGCTAGCCATGGTAATCATATCACATAAACACATTGAGATTTGCTACCCATGGTAATCATATCACATAAACACATTGAGATTTGCTAGCCATGGTAATCATAGCACATAAACACATTGAGATTTGCTAGCCATGGTAATCATAGCACATAAACACATTGAGATTTGCTAGCCATGGTAATCATAGCACATAAACACATTGAGATTTGCTAGCCATGGTAATCATAGCACATAAACACATTGAGATTTGCTATCCATGGTAATCATAGCACATAAACACATTGAGAGATTTGCTAGCAATGGTAATCATAGCACATAAACACATTGATAGATTTGCTGACCACAGCAATCATAGCACATAAACACATTGAGAGATTTGCTGACCACGGCAATCATAGCACATAAACACATTGAGGTATTTGCTGACCACAGCAATCATAGCACATAAACACATTGAGAGATTTGCTGACCACGGCAATCATAGCACATAAACACATTGAGGTATTTGCTGACCACAGCAATCATAGCACATAAACACATTGAGGTATTTGCTGACCACAGCAATCATAGCACATAAACACATTGAGGTATTTGCTGACCACAGCAATCATAGCACATAAACACATTGAGGTATTTTCTGACCATGGTAATCATAGCACATAAACACATTGAGAGATTTGCTAGCAATGGTAATCATAGCACATAAACACATTGATAGATTTGCTGACCACAGCAATCATAGCACATAAACACATTGAGAGATTTGCTGACCACGGCAATCATAGCACATAAACACATTGAGGTATTTGCTGACCACAGCAATCATAGCACATAAACACATTGAGATTTGCTAGCCATGGTAATCATAGCACATAAACACATTGAGATTTGCTGACCATGGTAATCATAGCACATAAACACATTGAGATTTGCTAGCCATGGTAATCATAGCACATAAACACATTGAGATTTGCTACCCATGGTAATCATAGCACATAAACACATTGAGGTATTTGCTGACCACAGCAATCATAGCACATAAACACATTGAGATTTGCTAGCCATGGTAATCATAGCACATAAACACATTGAGGTATTTGCTGACCACAGCAATCATAGCACATAAACACATTGAGAGATTTGCTGACCACGGCAATCATAGCACATAAACACATTGAGGTATTTGCTGACCACAGCAATCATAGCACATAAACACATTGAGATTTGCTAGCCATGGTAATCATATCACATAAACACATTGAGGTATTTGCTGACCACAGCAATCATAGCACATAAACACATTGAGATTTGCTAGCCATGGTAATCATATCACATAAACACATTGAGATTTGCTAGCCATGGTAATCATATCACATAAACACATTGAGATTTGCTACCCATGGTAATCATATCACATAAACACATTGAGATTTGCTAGCCATGGTAATCATAGCACATAAACACATTGAGATTTGCTAGCCATGGTAATCATAGCACATAAACACATTGAGATTTGCTAGCCATGGTAATCATAGCACATAAACACATTGAGATTTGCTAGCCATGGTAATCATAGCACATAAACACATTGAGATTTGCTATCCATGGTAATCATAGCACATAAACACATTGAGAGATTTGCTAGCAATGGTAATCATAGCACATAAACACATTGATAGATTTGCTGACCACAGCAATCATAGCACATAAACACATTGAGAGATTTGCTGACCACGGCAATCATAGCACATAAACACATTGAGGTATTTGCTGACCACAGCAATCATAGCACATAAACACATTGAGGTATTTGCTGACCACAGCAATCATAGCACATAAACACATTGAGGTATTTGCTGACCACAGCAATCATAGCACATAAACACATTGAGGTATTTTCTGACCATGGTAATCATAGCACATAAACACATTGAGAGATTTGCTAGCAATGGTAATCATAGCACATAAACACATTGATAGATTTGCTGACCACAGCAATCATAGCACATAAACACATTGAGAGATTTGCTGACCACGGCAATCATAGCACATAAACACATTGAGGTATTTGCTGACCACAGCAATCATAGCACATAAACACATTGAGATTTGCTAGCCATGGTAATCATATCACATAAACACATTGAGGTATTTGCTGACCACAGCAATCATAGCACATAAACACATTGAGATTTGCTAGCCATGGTAATCATAGCACATAAACACATTGAGATTTGCTGACCATGGTAATCATAGCACATAAACACATTGAGATTTGCTAGCCATGGTAATCATAGCACATAAACACATTGAGATTTGCTACCCATGGTAATCATAGCACATAAACACATTGAGGTATTTGCTGACCACAGCAATCATAGCACATAAACACATTGAGATTTGCTAGCCATGGTAATCATATCACATAAACACATTGAGGTATTTGCTGACCACAGCAATCATAGCACATAAACACATTGAGATTTGCTAGCCATGGTAATCATAGCACATAAACACATTGAGGTATTTGCTGACCACAGCAATCATAGCACATAAACACATTGAGATTTGCTAGCCATGGTAATCATATCACATAAACACATTGAGGTATTTGCTGACCACAGCAATCATAGCACATAAACACATTGAGATTTGCTAGCCATGGTAATCATAGCACATAAACACATTGAGATTTGCTGACCATGGTAATCATAGCACATAAACACATTGAGGTATTTGCTGACCACAGCAATCATAGCACATAAACACATTGAGATTTGCTGACCATGGTAATCATAGCACATAAACACATTGAGGTATTTGCTGACCACAGCAATCATAGCACATAAACACATTGAGAGATTTGCTGACCATGGTAATCATAGCACATAAACACATTGAGAGATTTGCTGACCATGGCAATCATAGCACATAAACACATTGAGGTATTTGCTGGCCATGGCAATCATAGCACATAAACACATTGAGATATTTGCTGGCCATGATAGCCATAGCGCATAAACACATTGAGAGATTTGCTGACCATGGCAATCATAGCACATAAACACATTGAGAGATTTGCTGACCATGGCAATCATAGCACATAAACACATTGAGAGATTTGCTGACCATGGTAATCATAGCACATAAACACATTGAGAGATTTGCTGACCATGGCAATCATAGCACATAAACACATTGAGGTATTTGCTGGCCATGGCAATCATAGCACATAAACACATTGAGATATTTGCTGGCCATGATAGCCATAGCGCATAAACACTTTGAGGTATTTTCTGACCATTGCAATCATAACACATAAACATATTGAAGTATTTGCTGACCATGGCAATCATAACACATAAACATATTGAGGTATTAGTCAGCTGTCACAAAAACAATTCTTTAGTTTATCTACGACTTGATACAACATCACCAAAAAGCCATCTACATACTCTCTAGGAGAGCTGATGTGAAATACAAGCTGGAGTTAAAAAATAAGCCCAATGATTATACAATGATCTATTTATAAAATTACTTTGATCCATGCCATTGGCACAGAGAGGCCTTATATCTGGAGGAGCTGATCATGAAGTCAAGTTCTGGAACTATGAGTTGGTCTCTAAGAACAAGGACAACGTGCAGCAGTAAGTTCTTTTTTCTTCTATATTTTGGCTTTCTGTCCAGTCATACATGACAGTTGACCTGGTGCCCAGTCATACATGACAGTTGACTTACTATTGCCCAGTCATACATGACAGTTGACCTGGTGCCCAGTCATACATGACAGTTGACTTACTATTGCCCAGTCATACATGGCAGTTGACCTGGTGCCCAGTCATACATGACAGTTGACCTGGTGCTCAGTCATACATGACAGTTGACCTACTAGTGCCCTGTCATACATGTTAGTTGACTTACTAGTGCCCAGTCATACATGACAGTTGACCTGGTGCTCAGTCATACATGACAGTTGACCTACTAGTGCCCAGTCATACATGACAGTTGACCTGGTGCTCAGTCATACATGACAGTTGACCTACTAGTGCTCAGTCATACATGACAGTTGACCTACTATTGCCCAGTTATACATGACAGTTGACCTGGTGCTCAGTCATACATGACAGTTGACCTGGTGCTCAGTCATACATGACAGTTGACCTACTAGTGCCCAGTCATACATGACAGTTGACCTGGTGCTCAGTCATACATGACAGTTGACCTACTAGTGCTCAGTCATACATGACAGTTGACCTACTATTGCCCAGTTATACATGACAGTTGACCTGGTGCTCAGTCATACATGACAGTTGACCTAGTGCCCAGTCATACATGACAGTTGACCTTGTGCCCAGTCATACATGACATTTGACCTGGTGCTCAGTCATTCATGACAGTTGAACTACTAGTGCCCTGTCATACATGACAGTTGACCTGCTAGTGCTCAGTCATACATGACATTTGACCTGGTGCTCAGTCATACATGACAGTTGAACTACTAGTGCCCTGTCATACATGACAGTTGACCTGGTGCTCAGTCATACATGACAGTTGACCTGGTGCTCAGTCATACATGACAGTTGACCTGCTAGTGCTCAGTCATACATGACATTTGACCTGGTGCTCAGTCATACATGACAGTTGAACTACTAGTGCCCTGTCATACATGACAGTTGACCTGGTGCTCAGTCATACATGACAGTTGACCTGGTGCTCAGTCATACATGACAGTTGACCTGGTGCTCAGTCATACATGACAGTTGACCTGGTGCTCAGTCATACATGACAGTTGACCTGGTGCTCAGTCATACATGACAGTTGACCTGGTGCTCAGTCATACATGACAGTTGACCTGGTGCCCAGTCATACATAACAGTTAACCTGGTGCTCAGTCATACATGTTAGTTGACTTACTAGTGCCCAGTCATACATGTTAGTTGACTTACTAGTGCCCAGTCATACATGATAGTTGAACTACTAGTGCCCTGTCATACATGACAGTTGACCTGGTGCTCAGTCATACATGACAGTTGACCTGGTGCTCAGTCATACATGACAGTTGACCTGCTAGTGCTCAGTCATACATGACATTTGACCTGGTGCTCAGTCATACATGACAGTTGAACTACTAGTGCCCTGTCATACATGACAGTTGACCTGGTGCTCAGTCATACATGACAGTTGACCTGGTGCTCAGTCATACATGACAGTTGACCTGGTGCTCAGTCATACATGACAGTTGACCTGGTGCTCAGTCATACATGACAGTTGACCTGGTGCTCAGTCATACATGACAGTTGACCTGGTGCCCAGTCATACATAACAGTTAACCTGGTGCTCAGTCATACATGTTAGTTGACTTACTAGTGCCCAGTCATACATGTTAGTTGACTTACTAGTGCCCAGTCATACATGACAGTTGACCTGGTGCCCAGTCATACATGACAGTTGACTTACTAGTGCCCAGTCATACATGACAGTTAACCTCACTTTTTCCAGAACAGTTGACCTTTTAGTACCCTGTTGTCCTGACCAGTCATCCACTTTATGTTATACATTTATAGTTGGCCTTTACTTGTAATCAACTGCTACGGATTAATATAAAAAGTTGAAATGTTTTTATAGGAAACTTTTAACATTGGAACATACAAGAACATTAAAAATGGATGAAGATGTTTTGTGTGTGAAAGTCACGTAAGTAACAAACTATTCATGTTACTCTACTCTGTACAAAAATTTTGTGCTTTTTTTTTAAGTGAAGTTTTTTATTGTTTAAGTATTTTAATTTAATTCTATATACTGTTTTCCTTGGGTTATTTATGTGTGTGTCAAATTTTGATTTCAGCCCAGATTACAAAATGTTGGCTGTTTCATTATTAGACAGTACTGTCAAAGTGTTTTTTATAGACACCCTTAAGGTAAATAATCTTTACTTGATCCTGCTTCCTGTTGCACAGATATTGAACTTATTATACTTTCGCCTAATGCCAGGACCTAAAACTTTATTTTCCATGACTGTGTTGATGTCCCAGACTTACCTATCTCCCAGACTGACCTGTCTCCCAGACTTACCTGTCTCCCAGACTTACCTGTCTCCCAGACTTACCTATCTCCCAGACTTACCTGTCTCTTAGACTTGCCTGTCCCACAGACTTACCAGTCTCCCAGACTTACCTGTATTTTCTTGTCCCTCTAGTTCTTCCTCTCACTGTATGGCCACAAGTTACCTGTCCCACAGACTTACCTATCTCCCAGACTTACCTGTATTTTCTTGTCCCTCTAGTTCTTCCTCTCACTGTATGGCCACAAGTTACCTGCGCCCCAGACTTACCAGTCTCCCAGACTTACCTGTATTTTCTTGTCCCTCTAGTTCTTCCTCTCACTGTATGGCCACAAGTTACCTGTCCCACAGACTTACCTATCTCCCAGACTTACCTGTGTTTTCTTGTCCCTCTAGTTCTTCCTCTCACTGTATGGCCACAAGTTACCTGTCCCACAGACTTACCTATCTCCCAGACTTACCTGTATTTTCTTGTCCCTCTAGTTCTTCCTCTCACTGTATGGCCACAAGTTACCTGTTGTCTGCATGGACATCTCATCAGACAGTACGCTGATTGTGACGGGATCAGCTGACCGTAACATCAAGATCTGGGGTTTGGACTTTGGTGATTGTCACAAGTCACTGTTTGCTCATGATGACAGGTAGTACATGTGTTTGTCTTACAGAACTTGCTTGTAACTTTGAGTTTTGTCATTTAGAGATTTACTTGTCTACAAAACATGTTATCTTGTTCAACATGTGTTCAACTGCTAGATACACTCATAAAGCCCTTTTTTGAGACAATTAAACATATCTATATTTTTTTCACATAAAAGTGCTTTGTACCATCAAATATCCACTGTTCCCTAACAGTTGTTTTTAATTTTGTTCTTCCCTCAGTGTCACGTGCATACAGTTTGTCCCTAAAACCCATCTTTTCTTTTCTGCTGGCAAAGATAGAAAGGTCAAACAGTGGGACGCTGATAATTTTGAAAATGTTTTGACACTGGAGGTAAGCTGACCTTTGTACACACTGTTGTATTTTGATAGCCTGCAATACAAATCACTGATGCTGAGACAGATGTCTAGTTCCTGCTCTCTGTCTTTGGTTTGCTTGAAACAATAGTTTTAGTAGAACACAGCTTTGTTCTTATTTAAATTTCAAACTTGTCTTGGGTTTAGAGGACTTAATGAAATTTCTTTATAGGTAGTGAGTGCTGCAGAACTAATTAACTTATCACTGCTGTTTACTTGTAGATAAATTGAGAAAAAAAAGGAGAAAAAAGAAACAATTTTGAAAGGATATTGTGATTCTAGGGCTATCCAGAAAACTATAAAAAAGAAAATTAAATCAGGAGCCAAAACAAAATAAATTTTGATTCAGAACATCTTTTTAAATTCCTGGACTACCCAGAATACTTAATCACTTCTGTTTGAAGATAACTCTTTATTACAATCTCTTTGATTACAATCAGGAGCAGCCAAAACAAAAAAAAATTTTGACAAATGATGTGTTATTCCAGGGTCACCATGGTGAAGTGCGGTGTCTTGCAGTCAGCCCCAGTGGCAACACAACAGTGACCGCCTCCCAGGACAGGTCGATCAGACTGTGGGAAAAGACAGAGGAGCCTCTGGTGCTGGAGGAGGAGAGGGAGATGGAGAGAGAGAAGGAGGAAGCAGAGACACTCTTACAGAATGGAGAGGAAGTGGTATGTGGTGTCAACACATTGTTCATCTTTAACTGTTGAGCTGACCATAGGGCAGTAAGATTTTAAATAGAACCTACCAGTTTCCATGCAGATAATTGTCTATATTTTAGTATTCTAATTGTTTATTCAAATGGGAATATTCAACCAACCCATCCCCTTCTTACAGGAATAATTTTCTATATTTTAATATTTGTACTTGTTTTCAAATAGTTCATAAAAAATGTTTACCTGTATAGATTTTGTCTTCTGGGTCTATTTATTGTTACATTGTAACATTTTTATTAAGCCTTACAAATGAGCTGAGAATGAGTAGGTGGTCTTTTTATATCTTTAGGTACCAGGGGAGACAACAGAGGAAGTGAAAATGGCAGGGAAAAAATCAATAGAAACAATAAAAGGGGTAAGTTCTTTGTTTGTATTGAACATCTTTCATTAAAAAGTAATAGAAAATTACTGGTAATTAGCATGATTTAGGAGTCAGTCACTATAAAAGTTGATAATCAGTGCACTGTTACTCTGGAATGTGCCTTCTCTGTAAAGAGTAAAGTGTATTTTTTTTTATCAGAAGCATTGGAAGAAACTGCTTGACTACATGTTTATTAACTTATTTGACTGCTTGTTTACTTACCTTATTGAAATGTATGTTTTCAGACAGAGAGAATAATGGAGGCAATAGATATATATGAAACCCAAGTGGAAGCTATTGAAACAGCACTAAGTAAAAAGGTGTGTACCAGTTTTAGTTGAAATTTTAACACCGTAGTTCACTAGATATTAGAGCACTTAAATCAATATTTTGTAAGCTGTTCCTCACCTGATATAGAATATTTGTGTAGTTTGTTGCCTCTGTTTCTCCAGGCTAATCCACCTGCCCCACATCCCATGATGGCAGCCTACCAATGCACATCACCAGCTGATTTTGTTCTCGAAACAATTCGAAGAATTAGAGCCAGGTCAGTCATTCAAAAATAACCCTTTAAGATATAATGGTTTGGATATAACTTTGTATACTAGAAATGTTATAAGGAAATAGTGTATTACAACTAATGTATAAATAGCTTGTTGGCCACCAGTTAAACAAAAAAATATTTTACTATCTTTCAGTGAACTTCTTGGTGCTCTGCTGTCCCTACCATTTAGTTATGTCAGCAAAGTTTTGCCAGTCCTGGATCTCTGTCTAACAAAACAACTGGAGACAGAACTTGTCTGCAAGTGTCTCAACTTTTTACTTAAGTAAGTATCTAACTTTTTACTCAAGTATCTGAACTTTTTATTTACTCCAATATCTGCTCCATTATTGCTTCTTCTTTTTTGTTCTTTCTTGTATCATATCAAAGGGGGTTTCATCCAACACAGTGAAGTATTACATGTCAATGTTTTATGTGCCATATTGCCTGTTGTCTCAGACTTCAGCCTTTGCTTTCTGGCTTTGCTACTGTAACCTTTCTTCACCCAAGAACAATCTGCAATCTTTCATCCATGCCAGCTTCATTCATCTATGTCACAGCACATTTTAACTGTTGTACTTCCCTTTTATTTTCTAGGATTCACCATGGTGAGATCACATCCAACCCGAGTCACTCTCCAGTGATAGAAAAACTAAAAGAACACTGTGTGGGGGCTGTTCACCACCAGAGGGTAAGAATCTTTGAACTTTCAGCACATTGAACAATTGCCTTTTTATTTTCCCGCTAGGCAGTTTTTTTTTCCCCAACTCAAATTATTGGCTACTTTCACTGGATTTGATTGTTAACATATTTTTCAGTCTGGTAATGTCCAGGTAAAATTAAATCTTCTTTTAAAAAGTTTCTGGTTTTCTACTTGTTAATACCAACCCAATCTTACTATAACTCTAAGCTATTTTTTTTTTATAGATTATTATTAGAGACAGAAAAAATATTCCATCTCTTTGTCCCAAATGATGTTGTGTTTTTATATTCAGCGGATTTTTTTAAATGAGTTTTTTTTTATTATTATTTTAGAAAAAGTCATAAAATGTTCCTTCGTTTTGTTTTTAATTTGATTCTTTGCTCCTTGATTAAGTTTTTAATTCTTTTGGTTGTTTTTTTTTAACAGGATTTAACAGCCTTTAATGCTGCAGGCTTGTCGTTTCTAAGAAAACAAGTGGAGGAATCTAAAAGTGTCTTGATGTTTGCTGATGCTACAGCCAGCAGGAAGAAAAAGAAAAAGCGGGCTGTATTAGTTGTTAAATAAATTTTTTTACCACTCTCAGTTTTATGTTTTATATTTAAGCCAAACATTTTCCAGTTGTTGGAATTTGGTTCATCATTAACTGCCTATTATAACCCAATGTTAAGACCCAACCTGTTTCAAACCCAGATGAAGGTGTTCGTTGAAATGCTTGGCTTGTGGGGTAACAGTAAATAGACTGATAATATAATGACGCTGATTAATAGTTAATGAAAGTTTACAATATATTTGCAAAATATTAACTCCGCCTTAACAGGTAAAAATAAGTCAATTATCCCATTAAGAATTAGACTCTTTTTTATGCATTACATAATAACAAGCAGCACCTTTGGCTTGCATGTGACTTCATCGTGTTTTGAATGTTATGCTGGCGAACTAATTACTGACATATGCCTGTAGACTTGAATATTATGTTATCAAGACATTAAGCAGATTTTTTTGAAATTACAATTAATATTCATATTGAATTAGGCGCCAGAAGCAAGAAATTGAATGTTTGCTGGGATAAGCATATTTTAATATTGCCCACAAATACTTATGGGGACAGGGAAACTAATGTAAAAAATGTCATTCAGATTATCTCCCATAGAGAGAAAAAATAACTGCTGGCGAAGTTATAGATGTGGCAGTTATTGACTTAACTGCCACCTCAGTTATTGACTTAAGACAAATACTGATAGGCTACAGGCGTTCGTAAACAAATGCTTACGACATATACTAAAAATAAGATGGCCAGACAAAATATCAAACAAAGACCTGTGGCAAATTTTAAAGCAACAGCCAATAGAGAAAGATATTAAATCCCGTAAATGGGGATGGATCGGACACACGTTTAGAAAAGAAAAAGAAAACATCGCAAAACATGCATTGGACTGGAATCCCCATGGGCACAGATTAGAGGAGCAGCCCAAATCCCGAGTCCGCTGGAGATGTGTGGTTGCAGCCCTTTGCTCCCCAGGGGCCACAAAGGAGTGATGATGATGATGAGTTATTGACTTAAACTTTTACTGCAAGATGCCCATTTTCACAGTAAAACCCAAAATATTTTTACAACTTCAAAATGACGCTGCCGGCAGCATATTAATGGTCTCATCTAAGATTTTTTTCAGCAAGTTTCAATTATCTGCCAAGAACCCAGCACTTCGTGGACCACTGCAGTGTTAGGCTCACTGGTCACAAAAAGATTGTGACCTGTGTTGCCCGAAGGATGTTCTTACTGAGATTAATAAGAGACCCGAAAATGTTTTTTGAGTGTTATGCTGACCACAGTCTGTCCTTGTTAATCTGTTGTGCAGAGAAGCATTAATGCTCATTCTACGGCTTGCTTCAGTATGTTTTAAAAATCATAACTAAAAGATGTTTAATCATTGACTTTATGTACTTTATTAGGCAATCATGTTCATAGTGCACAAAAAACTTTCAAACAATGAAAGACAATTTTTTTTAAAAAGAAAATGCACTACAATAAACTGAAATGTGGAAAAAATCTGGCCAAGATTACATGTCATGACAGGTTTTTGAATGGCAATCATTTAAATGATCAATCATTTTCAAACAAGTTATAAAACATCCCAATCACCAATTTCAATTTGTATAAGGTCATTTAAAAAAAATAACACCAGACTAAAACAACACCAGGATCAAGGAGAAGGGGGGAGGGGTCCAATAACATTTACCCCCAACCCTTCTAAAGTACAGTAGTTCTTTAGAACTAGGAACCAGTTCATGTTGAACATAATATACAGTTCAACAGAGTTGCAGTAACAATCTTTTAACTTGAGGTACTAGTAGAGGTTGAATGTTAAAAAACAAGAAACAGCTATGAAGCAATAAACCTAAGTTAGAATTACCAAGATGGCGCTTGTTGTAACATAAGATAGGCTCTGTAGCAACAAGCTTAAACTAGTTTTTCATGGCTAATTAACATTAAAAAAAAATAACAAGCAACAGCTGTGCATTAACTTTCTTACACTTGAGGTATGAATCTTTTTTTTTTTTAAAAGGCTGTGTAATAGTCCTAAACTAGAGGTACCAGTTGAATGGAGCAACAAAAAGACATGAAACTGAAATAAAGGGCTAATGATTAACTAGAAACACCAGTACATATTTATGTAAAACAACCTATATGAAAACAAACCTAAAGCACAAGTACTAGTACACACTGAATGTAAGCTATGTGATAATGTACCTGAGTTGAGATCATAGAAAGGTCTCAGACATTTTTTTTCTCTATCATACAACAATGATTGCCAGTTATACCCATTATCTTTGTTGCCTCAGTGGAATGAGAATTTGTTTGAAGTCGGTTGATGAATTTTACTGATAGGATTATTTGGAGAATCTAACTTCTAAAGTATAAATTTTAAAAGTGCTAACCCTGTTGAAATTTCATAATTGTACAAAGCTCTTAAAAATGTACACAAAAATATTGATTCAATCATCTCATTTGACAGTAACATTAAAACAATGAGAACTTTAAAAAAGTAGAAAGAATAATTTTGAAACAGTTAAAGTGCTAAACAACACCCAGGGACTAAAAAAAAGCTGTGCTGTCTGCTAGTAAACAAGTTCATTTAAATACACTGACTTGATCTGTTAACATCAATATTTACAATGTTTTATTTGAACTGGTCTATAAAAAATATTGCAGATAAAAAATACACACAAGGACATGGATATTTCTTTAGCTGTACATAAAATAACATTACATTAGTTCTCAAACAATGGCACTACATTTACTGGCCACATGTGCTAATTATTCTACCCTTATTTTATCTATACATGTGCCACATAATAGAGGAATAAATAGTATTATAAAAAAATTATCTTTTGATGTGTTTTTTTTTAGTTTGTTTTTGTATTTTAAGATATTTGAACTTCAATACAACATTTATAATCTACACATTTGTTTTTTGGTACTAGCCTAATCAAGATTTCATATGCAGGTTATTTTTAAAGAAATTCAACAAACCATAATGTTAAAAATTTTTGACCAACATCGCTACAATTAAGTTTCTTACTTGCTACAATGCTGTCTTGTATAATATTTGCCTAGAAAGAAAATCTACACATTTCAAATCGTCTGTTATGGACCACTTGAGAGACAACAATATCCTAGTTTATCAACGCACCTAAAAAACCCTTTCATAAAACAAGAGATAAGCCTGCGCTCTTAGAACCTCAGACTCTGGGACCTCGTTGACCCTGCTGTCACTGATGTGGAACCAGCGGCCAGGTGGGACCAAGCTTTCTGCGCAAGCCTCAATATCCTTGTCAACTTCCTCTGTTTTCTCTCTGTCATTGTTGTCCTTATTTTTCATGACTCTAGTCAGGTACCTGCTCAAAACAGTGGTCATAGTTAGACATCAGGCTATAAACATGTTAAAACAAAAAACAGACACAAACTAGACAACACAAGGACTTAGAACCGAGTAGAGTTATGAGCATTTACACACTGAGTAGTTCCAAATTTGATGTACAACTAAAGTACAACCATAGTATAACTATAAAGGCACTTACACACTGAGTAGATCTAAAAGCACTTACACAATGAGTAGATCTAAAGGCACTTACACACCGAGTAAATCTAAAAGGACTTACACATTGAGTAGATCTAAAGGTCCTGGTGGAATGGTGTGTAGAAAGTGTGTGTAATGTGGCATGCCAGGACGAACTTTGATGTAAGCTGTGTAATGTCCACCACTCAGACGCCCGCTGTGCTCTACCACACCATACAGAGAATAAAACACTTTACTTTGGCCTTCTTTTACACCCTGAAACGACAAGATTTTTATTCATATTTTTTATTGAGTTTTACCACTAATTTTTAACTTTGTATTTTGTTTTTTATTTCGTTGTTCTGTTTATTATAACTGTTTTTTATCAAGTGATCTAAGAGAATAAGATAAAGAACTGTAAGCAGATAGTGTAAAACATACCAGACACAGTGAACTACAATAGGGTGCTAGATCCAGCACCAAGGGAAAATCAACATGGCGATTTACTTTTCTTGATGTCAGTCCAGTCTGTGGATGTACAAAAAATAAATAATTTGTCTGCACTTTTAATGGAATAAACAGCTTCCGCAGAAAAATAATTTTTTGTGAAGATTACATGATTAATAATCTTTGTTGATTCAAAATATTAGTTTTTATACAACTAGATAGAAAATTTTCAGAGAGAAGATCAAAGGATAGCTTTTTAATTGAATATTGAGACTTTCTTTTTGAAACATGAACTATTGAACACAATGCGAATTGTTAATGTAAATATCACAAAAAATGTGTGGTGAACTGCCACATTCTGAAGGATCAAGTAACAGAGTAAAGTAATTGGGTGATGAGAAAAACTTACTTGCTCAAACCTCTTGAGGTGCAGGGTTAAAACAGCAGGGGGACGAAATATTAAATACTGCTTGTTTGCATTAGAGTATACTGTGTCCTTGACCTTTTTGTCACCTGCTGACAGAGGAAAAAAGAATTTAAAAATTTTCATCCACTGATGTTTACATGACTTGAAAAATTATAAAATAATATTTCGCACCCAGAAATTAGAGAGTGCAATGATCTCAACAACAAAAAAACAAAAAAAAAACAATGAAATGATCCAAGAGTTAAAAGGAAATGTGAACCTTTGTGAGAATTATTTCGCTTTCTTCTTGTGCATTCCTTACAACCAAACTTGTTAGAGCCAGTTAAAAGTTCAGCAGCAGTGAACTGGTTCAAACAGGACATGATGGAACACTCTTTAGGTGATGGGTGGTATCTGTGGACACAATTGTTTGGGTCAAAATTTTTATTTCCTTCAGCTGTTTGTATTTACACTCAAATGAAGTCACAAAACAGATTTCTACAATACTAGCTACATTTCGCAAGAATAGATTCTTTGAACTAAAACTTAAAAGCTTAAAAAAACAAAGGGTAAAGAAATAATAAGCAGAATAAAATAAACAACATCCTGGGATATGCAAATGTCAAAACTTTTAAAAATATTTTAATACAGAAAATAATTAAGTAAGTTAACATGAAGTTATGCAGGGATATGAAACCGGTAAAAAAGTAGAGAAGGAAAACTTGGTCAGAGAGGCATTTGCAAACCTCAGACCAGTCTGGAAATCATCACACATCTCTAACAAAACTAAAATAAGAATCTTTTACTCCAATGTTAAACAACATACAGCAACAAAAAGACTGTTTTTAAACAAATACAACTGCTAAAAAGGTAGAGAACAAATATGTAAACAGTTTTGTGATGTAAGTAGGGCATGGTAATCAATCTTTACAAAGACAGATAACTAAGGAACCTTACTAAGTTACCTTGGAGCAAGTGTATTCATGGAATAACTTTTGGCCTCCCTCAGGTATTCTTGTCTAGTTTTGAGTATATTGTGCTGATGACTGTCCTCATTCAAAGCACCCTCAGCCTCTTCCACTTTGTCTACAGACCTGGGCTCCTGGTGGCCAGCATGCAAGTTAAATGTAGCACTGACTTCCTCTTTAGCGTGAACACCACACTTAGACCTCTCATGTCCTTTCTTAGTGGCTGGCACCTGAGGCTCACCACCGCTGCCATCAGACAGTTTAATGTCACTGTCAACCAGGGTCAGCCTGCCCACACCGTTGGCCAGGTGGATGGTCTGTGAGTTGTTGACACTAACCTGGCAGGAAATACACGAACCATCCAGGCCATTCATCTTGGCCACACTCTCCAGACGAGAACACAGGGTGTCTAATTCATCCACGGAACTGGTCAGCTTGACATTTACTTCACCGCTTGGCACCACTTCTGTGGAAGGGTGGGAACTCAACATACCACCATTGTTATTGTTATTCTCAGCTGCCTGGCTCAGTTTAAGATGTGGTGTGTGGGCTTTTTCAATATCTTGATCATGTTTCTGCTGTGTGGTATCAACTTTGTGTTGGTCACCACCAGCTTCATGACTGCAGCTTGATGTCTTCACATGGTCAACACCACTACCTTCCTGAAGTCCAGGTGATGCCGATACATGGTCACCCCCAGCTTCATGACTGCAGCTTGATGTCTTCACATGGTCAACACCACACACTTCCTGAAGTCCAGGTGATGCCTTTATGTGGTCACCACCAGCTTCATGACTGCAACTTGATGCCTTCACATCATCAGTTTCCTGAGGCTCAGCTGATGCCTTCATCTCAACGACAGCTTCAAGGCTCTCAGTATTTCCAGCTAATATTTTGACGAGGTCACCACCAGCCTCCTGACTATCAGAATGTTGAGTCCTGTCTGAAGCAGGGGACTCATTCAGTCTATGGATGTCACTCTCTATGTTATCCTCAACATCTGCATCTACAACACAAATAATATGATCATTAGCCATCATCACACCAGTCTTTCATGTTTAACTTTGATATGAGTAAGCTTTAAATAACAATACAAAATTACACAAAGGTCTTGAAATGTTTGCACTGTTGGGAGTAAAATTGTTTTTTTATTATCTAAAAATCAAAGCAACACTATTTTTTAAGAATACTTAAATTTTATGTCTACAATTTTGTTTAATTTACACTTGATCTAATTGATGAAAACTTCAATTCAGTTATCCATAACTGACAATCTACTTGTTTGGTGTCAAATAAGATCTAAGTGAAACAAAGAAAATGAAACCAACCAGAGGGATCATCCTCATCGTCATTTCCATCAATGCCATCTTTGCTGCCCTCAGGTGAGCTGTTCTCAGTTCTGGCTACAGAGTCTACGCTGGGTGAGTCATCTGGACTTGCCAGACTTGTGTCTTTATCCACATCAGCTTTGCTACCCTCGTCACTGCCTTCATCAGGCTTTTCCTCATGATTTTCTTTAGTATCCGCATCACCTGGTTTGGCCTTGAAAGATTTTGATTTGCGCTGTGGAAAACAGGAAAGTTTGTCACTTCTCCATTAGCCCTACACAATCTTTTAATTGATTGCAAATACTATTTTAGATGACTTTAATTAGTATGGCTAATGAAGCTCTTCTCTTTCAAAATTCTATAGCTTTAAAACAAAATTGAAATTTCACAAGACTGGTTGCATTATGACATAATTATTGTTGTTTTCTGTATGTTTAAAGAAAACACTGCTATGCTGGTTGAAAGTATGTAGGTGATCTTTGCTGTAATTCTAACAATGCAACTAGTGATAGAGAAAAAACATAATCTTGTATAGCCCAACTGTCTTTCTTAAAAGATTTTATTTTTTTCCTTACAAAGTGAGGACATTCTGTAGAAAAATAGTTGTAACAGATACTTACTTTAGCATCTTTTTTGGCCAAGCGTTTATTTTTCCTCTCCTGATATTTGCTGGGTTTGTCAGAGCCTAGATCCTGAGCTACTGGTGAGAGTGTGGCAGCATTGTCTTCAGGGGTGTCTGCAAGACTGATAGAATCTTTCTTCTTTCCTATCAAAATCAGATTAGGTCTTTGGGGCTGAAATTCCAAGATTCGTATCAAATTTTAGAATCAAGCCAACTCATCATAATCAGAACATAGGAAGTACATGAAGAAACATTTTTTTGATTGTGCAAATAAAAAGATAAAATAAAGTAGCAAAGTAATTTTTTATTGCATTTTCTTAAATTAATGAAATGTCTTACTTTTTCTTCCATGACAGGCAGGGATATATCAAGAAAAGCTTCACAGATCTGAGACACCTGCAAACAATATAAATCACAGGTAATATAAACAATATAGCCAAAAGGATCTGGTATTAAAAGGGGTTAAATTTTTAAAATAACGGTAAAAATAACGATTTTATTTGAACATCTTAATAAACATCCCTCTTGTGTATAAAATATTAATTTGATCAAATAATTGTTTTAACTTCAAGCTTGTTCATATGATGGATTAGTATTTTTACTTATTTCATTTTAAAATTGGATTAGATCCTCCCAGAAGTCAGCTAATGATTAAAATCACCTATGTTTTCATGGCTAACCCACATTGTTGTCATTTGATTGGCTGAAATGTTACTTACACTTTTACACTCTTCACATTTAATTGTGCTGACCAACTGACCACCAAACAAGCTGTCTAGAAATGTGTGCTTCACTTGTCGTCCATATTCTGAAAGGATATTTGTTTTCAAAGTTAACAAATGTAAAAATATAACGTCCAGTCAGCAAACATTTGAATCAACACATTTACCACCAAATTTTAAAAATGTAATGCTTCATTTAAATTTCAAATGACTTGCTCCTCTAGCAGCTCAATCACATGAGAAGTACTGACCTTTGACCTTAAACTTTGTTTCTTCATCCACTTTCTTTGGACTGATGCTCTCTGGTAGCTTGAAGAATTTTAAAATGGATGCCTGTCCTCTCTTGTGTAGGGAGAAAAAATGATTTTTGTAGAATGATTGCATTGAAATGTATGAGGAATAAACAGACCTAAGCAATGAGCCTGACATACCTTGATCTCCTCTGTCCTGACAGAATCTATTAAGTACCTCAACAGCTCATGGCTATCTTGCTGCTGAAATCCTTTAAATCGTGGCGCTCTATAAAAACAAGTTAAATGAAATGTTAGATGGAGTAACAAATTAAAATGTCAGATATAAACTGTCAAAAAAAGATAGCACTTGATATGCTAATTGTTTACGTATGATAAATATAATTTTGTTAACTGAGCAGCAAATATAATTTAATTACTTTTAGAAACAATTGGATAAGATCATAAAAACCCCAGCAATAGGTGTAAAATTAGTTTTATAATTTGCAATGTGCTTTAAGTTTGTGTGTGTTAATCTAAAAGGAGGAAAACTCAGCTTACTTTTTACACACTTGAGCAAACAGAGCTGTAGGATTGACAGTGCCATTCTTTGTTGTGCCACCTTTCATTTCTTGAAGGAAACTAAGCAGAGCCAAAGTTACAGACCCAGGCTCCCCATATGTTGTTTGTATACTTGGCTAAAGAAAAAAAAAAATATTATAGAAAAACCAGTTCTCTCGTTAACGTCAGAACTTAGGTTTCACAAACTCATTGGGCTAGTTTATTGTTAAGTCAAACAAAGAAATTACACACCAAAGATTTCATTTTATCCTCCATGTCATCATCGCTGTTGTCCTCTTCCTCACTGGAACCACTATCTGACTCGAGGCCCCTATCAGGACCAGGTATGGTACACAACCTGCCTTGTTTACACCCATCTACCAGCAGAGATTCCAGGCCTCTCGTCTGGCTGATACTCTGGTAAACAGATGGGGTTTTTGTTTTTTCAAGAATGTGTAACAACAGATAAAACAGGTACACAGAATTTGTGCTGAGAATGTTAAGACGGAAATTTTATTACATCTAATAGTAGCACCGGGAAGATAAATCAGAAATATTAGTTCAGTTTGTACTGATGTCAAAGATACTTAACATCAGAGAGTAAAAAGCTGAAAATGATGGCTTTAAGGAACTAGGTTTACCTGCATAACAGCATTAAAAAAACAAGTGTTTCCAAGATTACTTAAACCCTGTGGACAAATGAATAAACATATGAGCAGGAAATGAATTGATCAATTAGAATTAAGCCATAAATCATAATAGTGTTATCTTTATATCTTTAAGATTTAACATCTAACAGTCATCTTTACATCTAAAAGTAAAATAAGGAGACTTAAGTAACTGACCTTGACTTTGATACACGATACTGGGGCAGAGTTTTTACTACATGCACTGTTGACTATCACAGACTCTGTCGGACTTTCTATTGGATAACCTAAAACATTTACAACATACATTCTATTTAAGCAAATGAAGAGAAAACCTTAAATATTTAAGACCAATTTTATTTTAGCAAACAAACAGAAAACCTTAAATGTTTTTAAAACCAATTTTATTTAAACAAAGAAAACTTTAAATATTTTAGCCAATTTTTATTTTGGCAAATGAATAAAAGTTCTTTTTTTTTATTTAAAAGATTTTGTTATCCTTTTGCAGAAGCAGCCAATAATAGTTTAAAAGGTAATTTTAAGGATATAAATAAGCTTTACCTGCTAATTGACCTAGATCTGTTTTACTAACTCCAGATTGTTTTTGGAGAAAGTCTATACAAGACTGGATTCTGCCGTTTACTGGGACATTATCATCACAAATATAACACCTAAAAAACACCAAAAATTCTTCAAATATAAATACTTTTTTTCCTTCCTTAAATGATTTTCACAAGAACAAAAAAATGCATAAAGAAAACAATCAGACAAAAATTATCTTCATAGTTGTGAAGTATAATGGGCTCACCAAGTAGACCAGGTAGTCAGGTTGACAGTTATACAATGTATACCAGAATGAGGAGTTTTGTAGTGTTTTAAGGCATGCTTGTTTAAGGAGTTGCGATCACAGCCCTAAAGAGAAATAAAAGTACATTTATTTAAAAACAATCTTTTTCAAGTGATTGTAACTTATGAAAATGTGTAAAAATGAATAAACAAATGACGCAACCCTCTGCTATAGCTCACCTGATGACCACACTGTAAACATATACAAACAGTAGTTTCTGCCCCGTCCATCTCATCACTATCAGCTGTCTGGACTTGACCTTCTATTACACCACCAAATAAATCGCGGGATGAAGAGTTAGGGGCTTCTTTACTACAACTCTGTTATGAGAAAAACAATGAAAAATTACTATAATGCCTTCACTGCAATTAATATTAAAATAAATTGCCATACATCATGCACAGTATTATATCAGTTCTAAATTAAAAATTGTACCCACAGAACATTCTCCCAGGGAAACTGTTGGTTTCAAAACTACTTTTCTCATTGCTGCGAGGTTGACAGCTTTAGACGTGTGCGGGCACCCTCCTAAATATAAGACATTAAGCATTTAGAACATAATTGTTAACATTTTGATCTAAAAAATTCCCTTTACATTAAAAGTATAATTTACCGTTTTGCAATCCATCGTCACTTGATTCATCAGCTTCATTTTCTTTAGTTTTGCGTATTCTATGCTTTTTATTTTTCCCCATCTTATAAGGTATTGATGGATCAGCTTCTAATACTCTCATTAGGGGAATTTAAGTTCTGAAAACAAGAACAATAATACTGCAGTGATTCTCTGTTGTGACTGATCTGCAGTGATTCTTATTAATTTGTCAAGCCGATAATTTTAAAGGGTGTAATAGCATTGCTTTAGGCAAACCCCTATGGTTGTGGTTAGGTTTATAGTATCATTAGGTTTATTTGGGGTAATAATTTTACATAATTCAAGGATAAAAAGTGTGGCTAAACAATAGTCATTTTCTCACAAGTCCAAGTAAATTTTATCTTAAATTCCAAAGTTTATGTCTACCTATGTTTTTTACCAAGTCTTAAAAAAATACTTTTATTTAGGCCTACATACATTTCTGAATGAAAATGTGCCTAATCATACCCAAATATGTAATTTTTTAAAAGTAACCAGTTTTTTTAAAGTGACAGAATGTCAAATTAAAACAAGTGACCACAAAAGCATAATACACTTTGTTTTTAGACGTGACATGACTTTATAAAATATGAATAAATCACAGCAACTGATTGGTGACCATGAAATAAGTTGTATCCAGGCAGTCTCAACTCCACTAATGCTATTAAATATTTGATTTTAAAGTGCTTAGCTTTAGTTGATAAGAAAAACTTACAGCATCATAGGTTTGACGTCTATGATGAAGGTGAATGGAGTTTAATAAACTATTAAAGTAGTGTAATATTATTAAAATAACAAGACAGTAGGCCTTACTCTGAATGACATACTATAGGTAGAAAGATAATTATTACTAAATGCTAAGTTTATTATAGTCTAGTTGTCAAATACACATAGACCTATTTATTTGATAGCAGAATAATTTATATTTTCTTATTTTTCACCAAAAGCTTTAATTCATTTTACTAGCCTTTCTCATTTAATTTTAATCAAATTATTTCCTAATTTAATCATTTCTCTTGCAAACTATAGCTGTTTTTAGGGGTCTTGGGAAAATGCAAGATGCTGAATGTTGAGGCAGCAGAATGCTTGAAGAAAATGCAAGACATACTTGAGGATTGTGGGTAATTAGCAAGACACAATATGAGATTTTTTCTGTTTCATTGTTGTTTTTTATTGTCTTGAGATGTGTGAGAAGCAGGGTTCATGCTCAAAAGTTCAAATAAAATTCCAGGAGTTTTCCAGGACTTTTCCAGGAGTTTAAAAAAAAATTCAAGGAGATTTTAAAAACAAAAAAGAAACCCAATTTGTACATTTAAAAAAAGCGTACTTAATAATACATTTAATTAGCCAAGCCAAGGCAAAAATCTAATTTCAGTAAAAGTAAAACAATATAATAGTTACATATTAGGATAGAGGCTAAATCTGACTACAGACCAGTTTGAATTTTCAAAATCTGACCATAAACAAAAAAGTTATGATTTGTGTTTTTTTTGTCATTAAAAAACAGCAGTTTTTTTCAGAGAACCGGGATAGACCCTGAAAGAGGATAAATACTGGGTTATTGATTTTTGGATGCCAAATCCAATGATGCTAGGCTAGTCGGCCAACCCGATGAACGTGTCGGACGAATATTATGTAATTTCAGAGACAAAAATCTGGCAAAATTTCTTGATCTATGCCCAATGATTAGTAACATCAACTCCACAGAGCGAAGGAGGAAGAGAGGTGGGTATGAAACCACCACAAGCTGCTCGGGTACCGTACGGGTGTTACACAACATCAAAGGCGACAATCGTCGGCTTGTCACGTCACGGAGTAGTGGGGGCAGGTTGAGGCTATGGATGTTACGTTGGGTGTTACATACCGTGTAGGATGGTCAGTGTCTTCCCCCACCCACCCCAGCCCATTTTGGTCAATTTGGCAAGCTAGTATTAAGCGTATTAACAATTTTTAGTCAACCGAAAAAAAGAGCCACTGGAAAAATTTAATTTATTTTCTATAGCCATTTTTACGAAAAATTAATGTATAAAATAAAATAATGAAACGTTACGCGAATCAGCATTGTTTAATCGGGTCGCAGCTATCCGCGTTAATTTCTAAAGAAGATTAAATTTGACGATTAGTCCTGAGCCGTAAATACTACTACAACTTTTTTTGCCGTTTCAATAGTTTAAGACAAAGTTATGAAACATGCCTGTCTACTTTAAAAATCCAAAAGCCGACAAGTCAAACACGGGAACACATGTAGGCCTATCTATCTTTAGAAATTGTTTATAGTATCATCCAATCGGGTCAATCGCCTAGCGTCACGTGACGACACACTCGGCTGTGCCACACGATGTGTAGATCACGGCAGTGCGATTCAGTCGGACGAGGGCCGATGCGTTAATTTTTATTTTCGTCCCATTTAAAAACTACTAGATCTATTCAATTATTGGCGGAACAAAATCAAATAATTTCGGTCAGGTTTTGCGCCGCAGGTTAATGAAATTTCATGAGATTTCAATAATTTCATGAGAATTTTTAAAATTCCAGGAGAATTCCAGGAGATTTTTACGTTTTTTAAGATTCCAGGAGTTTTCCAGGACCTCCTGGAATTTCAGGAGGCCGCACGAACCCTGGAAAAGAAATATTTCTTCAATACATTATGAGTGTTGTAGGCCTATGTTTTTTTCTTGATCTAGATAATTTTAAATATTAATGAAATATGCCAACTGTTAAGTCTAAACATAATTCCTCTTAAGATAGCCCATTCACATTTTTTCTTTTCAGTGGGAGAAAAATACTGACACGGTCAAGGGGGTCATTGTAAGAAGACTGGTTTAGATATCACTCTGCATGTGTCAAAGCAAAAAGATTTCTATTTGAGATTTTGCTATGAAAAAAGTAACCAAAATAGTTACTGTCTAGTAGATCTAGATCTATCTGAACTTAAGTGTCCAACAAGACATTTGTATGATTTTTTGGGAAATTTTTTATATACCAGTGTCAGATAATAGAATCTTCTTTAAAATGTGGTTTTAGGTTACTGGTAGTTAACTTATTTCTAACAATAAAACGTTTTGAGATTACAATACTACTAACAACCTAACACGCCTATTTAGTAGTATTTCTCTCTAACCCGGAGGCGTGGCCGGTTGCTAACAACAATATGGCGCCCGGACCAGACGCTTGACTTCCGACGATTTTTCTGCCAAATTCCAGAGACCTTCTACTAATTAGTTTTTAAAATGTTTACCACGCGCAAAATGGCGGGACTTTCACGTTATAACAACAAGCTATAGGTGGCAGGGCTATATATGCCAGAAAAGCATTTTAAAATTTGCGTTGGAGAATGAAGGCTAAATTTAAAAGTTGGTTTCATCAAAAATACTAGAACTTTTTAATATCGATTTCCCTATTACAAAATTGATTTCCATACTAAAGCATTATTAGTTTTATCAGTCTATGAAAAAATAAATCAAATATAGTCAACCCTTTTTTTTATAAGAGTGGCCAAAAAATGACAACCAAATTTTTTTTATTTTTTTGACCACGTGACCGCTATTTGATGATCACTAGTGGGGAACTCTGGGTACATGGCCACTTAAAAAGTCTAACCGCATTTGTGGTTCTCTTTAGCTTCAAGTGCCTTCAGGGGTAAGAAGAGTTGTCATGGAGAGATGTGTTGTCCATGGCAGTGAGTGTCAATAAATATTAAATTAAGTAATTTAGTTTAAAACGAACTAAAAACTTCAAAATTAGTCCCTAATGGATTAAATATGGATGTCTATCATTCAGTAGTCATGTTTAATTTGAAATTTGGGTAAATTCTAGATTTAGTAAGAAAAGCTACTATTTAGTATTTTTTGATGAGTTCATTATCGGACATCAGTATTTTCAATCGGTAATCTATCGTTTTGGGTACGTAAAATCGCCCGCGGCTATTTATGTACGAAAACGTTACCTCATTGTCAAGGCTTTAATAGAAGTATATTGTCATACTTTTGTGTCAAATATTATAGATAAATGAATAATAAACCTAAATCAATGGCAAAATATATCGACATAGGCCAGAAATTAACTTTAAACAGCAGTGTCTGAGAGCAAGATTTGCTATATAAACAGCAGCCATTTGTAAAATAGAGTGGCTTCCCCCTGAATCTGGCGCTAAAAGCTTATAAAAATAAAACTTAGACAAGATGGCTGCTATAGTAAATGAGCATGGTTGCATCTGTTGGAAACATCGCTAGTCTTCATTTATTACGGAAAAGTTTTAATTGAATTGTTTAAAAACAGGTACATAAATGAATCAAGGAAACATTTTTGAATTTTTTAATACATAAATCCTCCTCAAAATGTGAAATAATTATTAAAATTTAAGGAGTCACCTGTTTTTCACATTACAAATCGCGGGCGATTTTACGTACCCAAAACAATAGATTACCTTTCAATCTTCCAATTTTACAACAATTACCCAGTTAGAATTATAACAATGAGGTTGGATAAAATAAAAACATAGACCACCATTTAAAATTTAGGCCGATTCTAGTCGGAATAAGATACGCATGCGATACGCATGCGCAATGGAGAGAAACTACGACTTAGCGGCGATGTTTTCGATGGTACTGCGCATGCGTGTGTTTACAACCGCAGAACCCTAATACCAACCCTAATCCTATCCCTAATCCTATCCCTAACCCTAACCCTAGCCCTAATCCTATCCCTAATCCTAGCCCTAATCCTATCCCTAACCCTATCCCTAATCCTACCCCTAACCCTCATTCTAGCCCTAACCCTAGCCATAGGTCACTGCGCATGCGCAGAACTATCTTTTGCCGAAAAATCTTATTCCGAGTAGACACTTCGTAAAATTTATTGAGAACACAAAAGTAGGCTTCGACCCAGTTTTTAGATCTAGAATCAAGATTGTCAGATATTCAATCCAGACATCATCGACCACTCATCCACATCGCCACCTTCCAATACATTCACAACTGAAACTAGATATCTACTTACTCTCAAGCCCTATATCAATCATTCGTCCATATAGGGCTCAACGAATACTACTTATTCTAATTAATAACGTATTTCTAATATTATTGAAACAAATAAATCATTTGTTGATTCTTCTGTCTAGATCTCGTTTTGTCAATTTACTTTTTCAACAGGAAAGATAAGATTATCATCATGCAGGAAACAATTGTCTTTTTCTATTGTCGCTAAATTATTATAAGATTTTATATCATTATAATTTTTGTATTTAATTCAAAAAGCAATATATTTTTTATCAAAGAAGATTCAAAGATCATATAAGTATGATTTATAATGATGAATGACCCATGAGTTTAAAAAACGGGTTTAATTTTATTTTACGACATATTTCTCATTCCAGGAATCGATGGCAGTGGTTCCCAAAATACATTATTTTTTAAGTGGGAGGGGGGTGGTCAGCAGTTTTTCTTCCAGCCGCTTTTTTTCTCCGGGGGGGGGGGCACTTGAAATTTTTTGGGGGGGGGGGGCGACACTCTGGTGGTGAGTCAGAATCTTTCTTCTCTCCCGTCGACATAGATCTATATTTATTTTATTTGGGAGGGAAAATTTAAAGTAAAAAACTAATACAATTTTCATATTTTTAAGAGCTTTTTGTAAATGTGGGTGTGTTTTAGTCTGGTTCTGGTTAATTAATGTTAAATTATTTTCAATTTTGACTTTAGAACAATTCCTAATAGAGCGACGATTTCCTTCAAATACTTCAAGATTTGCAGATAAATCGTATCTCCAAAGACAAAGCCATATGTATATTTATTTCAACACAATTGGTAGAGGGTCGCGGTAAAAACGAGCGAAGGAAATGAGAGATTGCCAGCCGATATGGTTTATTTACTATTATAAATTTTATCATCAATGGTTAATACTGCTTACGAAATAAATTATTTTTCCCTTCAAAGAAAAAGAAATATTTGAACATCGGCAATGCACATGGTTTGGCGTGACTCGAACTAAAAAAAAATAAATCATTAAAATAAATCAAAAGTGCAAATCATTGAATATTCATTTTAAAACATTTATTTTTTTTTCTCCAACAATTATAGGTTTTTTTATTTTTAATATTTTACAACAAGCATTTCAGTAAACAAACAAAAAATATGCTGAATTATAAAATACTAATAATGCGATGTACAGATTCTATGATTGTTGGTACATCTTAAGATGGGTTGGGATTCGTCTTTGTGGATACCAGGTTATAAGTAGAGGGGGGTAATACTCCCTATTTTTATGAGCGTCATAGTAAGGGTGACTTTTACTTTTAATTCTGATACCTAAATGATCAATTAAATCTAGGCTTGTTGAAAGGAACGAGGGAGTGAGATAATGTAGCCTTATCCATGGCACTACATTTACTTAATCTCAAAAAATAATCATAGAAATCATAATGGACACCATCTACTAAATAAATTTCTACGCCATAAATAACAGAATAGTAGTCAATACCTAGGCTACCGCCCATATTAAATGTTGCTTTTCGTTTAATAGAGATGTCGCATGTCGTGTGTTTGTGTAATATTCGGTAAAATTAAATTTGTTTCGGTAATTAGTTGGTTGTCAATGTATACAAACCTTCTAAAAATCCCCATTCACTGTAATTGTAATTATAGCGTTTCATTAAAAACGTTTTGGGTTGCTTTACAACAATTATTAAGTAAATAGGACTCTTATTTAATATAGAACTTGTCAACATGTTCAAAAATTAATTATTTAATAAAATTATTAACATTTCTTTTTACCAAAAACTTAGATGGCCGGAGCAATACCGTATGTGGATTCTAAGCTTCGTCAAAGGAAGATCATCTTATTTTCTAAATCTTACTCTCCAGAATGTAAAATGATCAAAAAAATCATTAGTGAACATCAACTTTCAGAAAGAGATTTTGAAATAGTTGAAATTGAAAAACGACAAGATTGTGTTCAAATTGAAAATTATTTTCAAGTTTTATGTCTAACAGATGCTAGATCTGTAAGATTTTTTAAAATAAAATTATTTTGACTTGGGTTTTAAGTTTTAGAGTTAGACCAGTTTTCAAAATAAGTTATATATATAACTATAATGATTAGGTTTACATATCTATTTAGCTGTAAGTTTTAAGATCAACAGCTATAAACTTGCTCAGTTTTTGGCAATTTTTGCATACACCCGAAGTGAGATCTTTCAAAGATTTTCACAAACATCTTCATTACAGTATCTATTATAGAACCTAGTTTTGAAGACTGATCTAATGGATTAGCACAGTTAAGGATAATTGGAGTCTTGTTCAAACAGTTATTTAAACATAATGGCTTCCAAGCAATTTTATTTTTTGGAAAATTATTCTGATTCAGTTAATTGTGTGTTCTTGACCCTTACTCTGGTTAGGAAAGAAAGGCAGCTAGGTGTAGTGCTGACCATTGAATGCCTTTAATTTCTGAGGTCAAAAAATTCTTAGGTTATGTTACCTTTACTTAGGTTTTAATTAGTACTTTTCTATACTCTTTTTTTATAAGGGACAGAGAACACCTTAAAAAACACATATTCTTATGTTTTCAGGTTCCTCGTCTATTTGTAAATGGGGAGTATATAGGAGGTGAGAAGGAAATCGTCCTGTTGCAAAAATCTGGAGAACTCAAAAATATTTTTGCAGCTGCTGTGGCCACAGAATAATTTGTATTGAATGTTTCTTACCTATATCTTTTTGTTACTTTTAAGAACTTTAATTTTGTAAGGATATTATTGTACATCTGAAAAGCAGATCAGTAATGACTTTTGCATACATATATTTTTACTGGGTGATTGTACATTTTTCTTGTAAATGAAATTCAATAAAAAATAAATTTAAAATAATTAAACAATATTGACTGTTAATATGTGTAAAAAAAAAAAACACATACTATATTTAATACAATTTTGTTTACTTCAAATTACTGATCAATATCAATATGCTGTATATTTATTAATCTTTTAAATTGTGTACCTTTGAGGGTTATAGCAGCTTGGACCGAAGTAAAGATAAGTCTCTCAAGTCAACACTGCTTAGACAATTGAGAGGATTTATGGCTTCACTATATATTGGTGGCTTGAACATGTTTTATATTTTAACAACAGGTTAACAATAATGGCACTTTGGTTGTGAACATTTTAGGATTATGTTTTGTTAGACAACTATAAGTAAATTACTTTTGGGTAGGTTTTCAACAGTAAAAAGTATAAATGGGGGTGGGGGTACATCTAAAATTATTGGGCTTGGGTTCACTGTTGCCCTAGGAGTAATAAAATGGGACAAACTAATGTATGTTTGAAACCAGTGTATTGTTGTGTAAGCAGTTGTCATACACAAGGCATAGTTACAGAGAATTAATATTGTAAATCAACATTTATGAGATATTTAATGCGTCAGAATAAATGTAACAAATGATATAGAGAAAAATTAATAACCATCAGCTTCAAAATAAATGCCATTTACCAATATTCTATAAATTTTAAGTTCTACAATATTTACATTTCTAACATTAGTATCTCTAAATAATAAATATCAATATGTTTTGAACATTTTACCAAACTACTTGAGATATCACTTATAACAAATTTAAATACTGTTAAAGCAAAAATACAATATACTTAAAAGCTGAACATATTTAAAACCTTTATCTAAAGTGGGAATCAAGAGTCACAATCACCCCCTAGAAATATATATTTATTCATGGATAAGAGTAATTAGGGAAATGAAAGGCATCACACTTAGTAATGTTAAAGGCAATCTATCACCCATAGCATTCTGAGAACTTTAAAAACTCAGTCGCACTTCTTTTTGAAGTTTGTCACAACCCTTTTTGGATGTTCAAAGTTTTTCAAATATGTATAACTCCTATGAATAGTTGATAATATTGTTTTAAAACAACAGTTAGAATGGCCACATTTTATTTTAATGTTATTTAGTAACAATTAATTAATAGTGGACAAAATTTGACTTAGGAAAATTAAGACAGTTTAATTGTTATAATGAGCTGGTTTTGCAACTCTGAAAGTAACATTTATTCTTGCTCCTCTGTCATGATATTCTTTAGGCACTCGATGCTGTAAAGGAAGCAGAATTTTAAGAAAGGAAACTATTAATAAAGTAAAAATTTAATCTAAGTTAAAATGATATAATTAAAAACACCAAAACTTTTAGAACTTCACTAAACAAATAAGTAGATTTGCAACCTGCCAATCTGTTTGAGTCCATCCTTCCATAATAAGTAAACTTCCACCAGTCAAACTTAACCTGATCACTTGACTATATGTGTAGTCTCTTTCTCCTGATTTATTCTGAAGCACACAAATTTAAAGGATAATGACTTCAGTAATAGAAATTCATCAACCAATGCAAGAAAAAAATATGCTAAAACTAAAAGTAATTCTTTCTTTTTCATTCACTAAAGAAATTAAGCAGATAAAATTGCTGCAAACTTATGGGAATTTTTAAAATTTTAATTTACATGTGTATTCAAACAGTAGATTAGAACAAGAAAAATCTTTATTTTGGATTTGGAAATCCTTTTATAGAAATTATAAAATGTAAGTAGTAATACAAACTTACTGGAGGAGGCTTTTTACGCAATTCGAATACTCGTTCATCTCCAAATGACAATGAAGCTATAACTGGTGTTTTCCCCATGATTGGCTCATCATCTGAATGCCATCCTATACTATCATGCCCATCCCTGTATAAATTAGCTGCAAGTGAATTAAATTCTATTCCAGTCAGTTCTGCTAGCTGCTCTTTTAACTCTTTTAGAGACTTTGGCCATTCCTGTTTAATTCAAAACAAATGTTTAGTTAATATATACTCCAGTAGAAAAAGATAAAGCAGCTTCTAACTAGATATCACACAGCAGGCTTTGAGGTGGAACCCTCAAGGAAAACACAAAAGTGGTCTGCCCAAAAAACTGGTAACAGGACCTTGATGCTGAAACCACAAAGATGGGTTTTGCCTGGGATGAGGTTTGAGAGGAAAGCACAGGACAGAAGACTTAGGAGATCTTTGGTTGCAGGCTCATACCCCAGCAGGGGTGACGGGTAATGGTGAAAATAGAACAAAGATAGAATGAATGATGATGGGATGAGCTAGATATAATGCATTTATCAGAGCTTACAGATGTGTTTGCTTCCACTGTAACCCCAGAGTATGTGTAAGGTAGTTCGCTGTACCAGTGAGTTAGTCTCGGTTGAATTGCTTGTACTCCATTGTGTATGTCATACCTCTGCCTCCAGGGAATCTCATGAAATAATTCAGCAAAAATAGCATCACTGCGAGATGAGTCTAAAAACTGTGGGAAGTACCTCAACCTGTTGTACAATTTTAAAACTATTCAATGCACCATTCACATAAGTGCTTAAACTAAATACTAAATAAAAAAGAGTAAGCATATTTATTTGTTTGGGCAGAAATTATCAAGATTTCAAAGTTGCATACTATGTGGAACAAGGGAAGTAATACCTTCATTAAAAAATTAGGACAATGAATTATTTATTTACACAGTCAAATCTGCTCATGATGTTACATTATAGAATCTGGCAAGAATGTATAGTGCAGTATTGTAGATAGGGTAAGAACATGTCTAAAAAAATTACCTTGAGAGACCTGAAGGCTCAGTACTTATGTCATAAACACCAGCTTTCCTGAGATTTATTAAAATTAAAACTAATTAAAAATTACAAATAGTTTAGCCACAGCAAATAGAAACACAGAACACAATGTGGTTAGAACTTAATGGCACCCTCTTTTGGTAGAAAAGCAACATGCTTTACATCTTATAAGCACTGGACAATAATATTAAATCAACAAACAAAGCTTGTTAGTGTGTTTTCTAAAAAAAAAAAAAAAACCATACAGTAGCATACAAAACAATATGAAAGCACTTACGTTATGAGTTGATCACTTGGCTTTAACTTTATTTCCTAAAAATAAAATATATGTGAGTATATTACTTTTACAGTAGAAACACTGGTATGATAAGAGAGGATATTCTAAAAACAATGATAAGAATTTATTTCAAATACAACTAAACTAAACTTTCAACTGAATTACTTTAAAACTTTAAGAAAAACACATGAACTGAATTGTTCTAAAGAGGCTCTATCTATGTAATGAGACATTTGATCCAGATTTTCCACATTCAATTTAAAAATGATGTATTACCAACCTCCTCAGGTTCTTCAAATACAAACGTTGTCTTAGGAACGACCTGGTCAATGTTTTTTCCAAGCCATGCTGGTCCAACTGGCATGGGTTTTCTGTCTCTGTCTGACCTTACATTTTTCACAGGTTTACAGCCATCAGTATGCTGGATTGGCACCACTCTGGCACCCACGGTAGCTGACCTTCCAACACCACTTGGCTGCTCTTTACTAGTTTGTGGATTAGAGGGGGCAACCCATCCCCCTTGTACTCTTGCTCTACGACGTTTATCCATGTGAGTAATTTATCATCCCAGTGACTTATTAAGCATGCTTCCTGTGAAAAAAAAACAATTTTTTTCTATTTTCTGAAAATGCCACAATAACTTCTTACAAACTCTGTTAATATTTTGATTCATGGCATTTAATATGGCCTGTTTTAATGCATCATGCTTTTTGGTGCAGAAATATGTTTTTTAAATTAAAAATCAATACTTTAGTGAGTGTGCATTTTTGGGAATTCACTATGATATCACATAGGCCTATAGGCTCCCATTGAACAATAAAATACGAAATAGCTTTGGTTTTTGTTTTGTACCCAAAATATTAATTACATCAAATAGGGCCTACATAGATTTTTAATATGTACAAAAAAAAACATACACTTGAGAGTGACTCATGTTATCATTTTGTTTTACTTATAATTTTAAAATACTTTAATTTTAAAAATATTTTTTTAATTTTAAAGTTTTTTTAGATAACTTTTTGAATATTCTGGATGAAAGAAATTAAAATAAATGGTTTGCAGGGGATTGTACTAGTGGGAATAAAAAAGCATTTACACTACATGAGTGTACACTCAATCACCAGTTGTAAGCTGTAACTTAACATTAGACAACGTTCATTTGGGGAAGGGGGGGAAACGTTCTGAGGATTTAAAGGGACTACTCGAAATATCGGCCATTAGTAATTTAAAAAATTAGGTAATAAAATCATAAAATGAAAAATGGAATCCTAAGTAAAAAAAAGTTATGAGTACTATTACTATTAGTAACAAGTAACACTAACACTACACCAGTACACTACAACACGGTAAAACTCCATTTTAGCGTATTTTATTCTCCGTTGCTTGTTTACCTCCAGTTGAGCGTATTTTATTATAACAACCGAAACACACCAAAACATTAGGAAAACACGATTTATTTATTTGTATTGTTTTTTTTTGTTTTCACAAATGAATAAAATGAATGTTTAAAAAACACGACTTATTTATTTGTATTGTATTTTTGTTTTAACAAATGAATAAAAAACAACAAAGAGACTGACTGAAGTGCTTTATTTGTTGGTTACAAAAATAGAGATGCACACTTTGTACAATTAAGTGTTCCAATTTCAACTAAACTGAATAAAAGTATTAAAAGGCACAATAATGCTGCCGAAAGTGGGCCGGGGGGGGGGGTGGGGTGGAATTTGGTGAGGGATGGCTTGGAGTGTTAGAGAAAGTGTGACAACTCACGTTGTCATTTAAAAAAAAAATAATGTTAGAGGTCGTCCATAAATGACGTCACACTCGTAGGGGGAGGGGGGGGGGTCCGTAATTTTGTGACGGTGTGTCAGAGGCGTAGCGAGGGGGGGGGGGGGGGCGGGGGGGACATGTCCCCGGGCGCCGACCTTAGGGGGGGCGCCAAATTGAAAGTTTGAGGGGGGGTGCAAATCGAAAATTTGCTCCCGAGGGGGGCGCCAAATTGAAAGTATGTCCCCGGGCGCCGGGAAGGGTCGCTACGCCTCTGCGGTGTGTGATGAGGGGAGGGGTTCAGATGGTGCTACGTCATTTTTTTTTGGGGGGGGGGGTCTTGCTTTTTGTGACGACACGCTTTTTTTACGATTTGTACCTCCACCCTCCCCGCCGTTACACGTCGTCACAAAAAGTCAGACCCCCCTCCCTAAAATGACGTCACACCTCAGCCTACAACCCCCCCCCCCCCCCCCGCCTCAAAATTTCTGTTAATTTTTCTTAAAACATCGATAATTTTTCCAAAATCTTGTCAGAACTGTCAACATAGAGTATTTTGATCAATTCATATTACAATTTATTAAAACCGTTTTCTAAAACGCAAAATAACGGCTAAAACTCGTTTTTCTAACATTAATTTTTAAAAATGCAAAAAAGTGACGTCACACCATCTGAAACCCCACCCCCTCCCCCTCATCACACACCGTCACAAAATTGCGGACCCCCTCTCCCTTACGAGTGTGACGTCATTTATGGACGACCCCACATCAATTTTTTTTAAAAGTCAGAAATTTACTCATACAAAAAATCATACTTGATACATATATCAAAATATTGGTAAGGATGGTAGATTTACTATGAATTTAAATAACATACAACTCTATAGTAAAATATTTTTTTCAGTTTTGGCAAAACTGTCAAATTAAAAAACACAGAGTTTGTACATTTATTGCATAAATACAAAAAAATAAAACAGAATAATTAACAGTGTATCAGTTTCACCATGAGACAAGACAAATGCCTTTAAAAAAAAATACAATACAAATAAACAAGTCCTGTTTTTTAAATATTCATTTGCTAAAACAAAAATACAATACAAAAAATAAATCGTGTTTTCCTAATGTTTTGGTGTGTTTCGGTTGTTATAAAAATACGCTCAACTGGAGGTAAACAAGCAGCGGAGAATAAAATACGCTAAAATGGAGTTTTACCCTACAACACACCACAAAACACAAAAAAAAGTATAAGTATAAGACTAGGTACTACTAGATCTACTAGAGATCTAGATCTAGTAGTAGTAGTAGAGTACAGTAGTAGTACTAACTACTAACTAGTGTAGGTTCTAGACTAGCTACTTTAACTTTAAACTTTGACTTTAGCTTAATTGATAATTTTTTAATTAAGCTATGATCATATTATAATTATAAATAATATAATATAATGGTAATCTATCGTTTTGGGTACGTAAAATCGCCCGCGGCTATTTATGTACGAAAACGTTACCTCATTGTCAAGCTTTAATAGAAGTATATTGTCATACTTTTGTGTCAAATATTATAGATAAATGAATAATAAACCTAAATCAATGGCTAAATATATCGATATAGGCCAGAAATTAACTTTAAACAGCAGTGTCTGAGAGCAAGATTTGCTATATAAACAGCAGCCATTTGTAAAATAGAGTGGCTTCCCCCTGAATCTGGCGCTAAAAGCTTATAAAAATAAAACTTAGACAAGATGGCTGCTATAGTAAATGAGCATGGTTGCATCTGTTGGAAACATCGCTAGTCTTCATTTATTACGGAAAAGTTTTAATTCAATTGTTTAAAATCAGGTACATAAATGAATCAAGGAAACATTTTTGAATTTTTTAATACATAAATCCTCCTCAAAATGTGAAATAATTATTAAAATTTAAGGAGTCACCTGTTTTTCACATTACAAATCGCGGGCGATTTTACGTACCCAAAACGATAGATTACCAATATAATATATATAATAATATATAATATATAATCATAATATCATATGATTATGATAATGATGTGAATGTGGTTTCCTTTAGGTTAGGTGAGATGGTTGTGCTAGATCAAGATCTAGTAGCCTAGTGAGTAGGCCTACTTGTAGCTCTACTAAGACCTAGATCTAAGACGATCGACTTACACTTAAAAAGTTATAGTCTAGGCCTACTTCTAGAGTAGATAGGGCCCCGTCTAGGCCTAGTGTATTAATTATATTTTTATTTTGTGTTGTTATGACTCTTCAAATGAAAAGTTTTATTTTAATGTATTAAAGGGAGTATGCAGTGTCTATAATAGCATTAACCAGGTTTTAGATATTTTCTATTTATAAGAATTGTTATAAATTACTAGTTCAGTTATTTAGATATTTAGTTTGATTTTTAAATAAATATTTGACTTAAAATAGTTGGAATGTTACGCTTCTTTTCATTTTAGTAAATGTTTGCCAAAAAAATAATACATGTCATTTCAAAATGGCGGATACGTCAAAAGGTTTGGGTGTTAAATCGTTAATTTTTTTAAAAGTTATTTTATTATTTGATGCCTGTTTATTGTAATAATTGTTGAATATAAGCTAATTAATTAGCATTACCTCCACTTTAAGCCTTTAAGCTCTATTATTAACACAAAAACGTGAATTTTGTTTAGTTTAACAAAAGGCCTTTTTTTTTTGTTCGACGAGTCGTACAATTTTTTAAAATTTACTCTAATTTAGGTCTTAGGGTAATCTATCGTTTTGGGTACGTAAAATCGCCCGCGGCTATTAATGTACGAAAACGTTACCTCATTGTCAAGGCTTTAATAGAAGGGTAAAACCTTAGTTTAGCGTCGGAAATTATCGGGTAAGGTTTGTTGAGTTTCGGTAACTAGAGTTACGGTAAACCATGATTTATTTGACCATTGAAATATAAATAAATTGAAAGTCGATTGTAGTAAATTAATGTTTTAATTTTTTAAGTTTAATCGACAAAAGGAAACAAGAATAAATATAATTGTAGATTTAAATTAGTAGATCTAAAAATAAAAAAAACATATATTAATATAAATATAAATAATGAAGTAAAATGTAATATTTATAAATATTTTAATGTTTTTGGCTTGCAGGGGATTTGCGACCATTAATTAGATCTAGATCTAGCTAGATATCTAGCTTCTAGGCTAAGTAAAAAAATCTAGATTACGAAAATAGTAAAAATGATTACAAAATGTAAAAATTATTACAAAAATAAATATCCAAATTTTAAACATTCTGTATAAAAATAAAAGATGACGCCAAATAAAGTATGGTTTACAGTACTTCCGGTGAATTCCGGAAGTGTGTGACAGACTTTGGCATTGTTTTACTGTTTTTTACTGCTATACGATTCCGGAATAATAACCGGCGCTAAACTAAGGTTTTACCAATAGAAGTATATTGTGATACATTTGTGTCAAATATTATAGATAAATGAATAATAAACCTAAATCAATGGGCCTAAATTGCCCTAAATCTATCATTATCAAATTATCAATATAGGCCAGAAATTAACTTTAAACAGCAGTGTTTGCGAGCAAGATTTGCTATATAAACAGCAGCCATTTGTAAAATAGAGTGGCTTCCCCCTGAATCTCGCGCTATAAGTTTTTAAAAAAAACTTAAACAAGATGGCTGCTATATATAATAGTAAATGAGCATGGTTGCATCTGTTGGAAACATCGCTAGTCTTCATTTATTACTAAAAAGTTTTAATTCAATTGTTTAAAAACAGGTACATAAATGAAACAAGAAAACATTTTTGTATTTTTCAAAATATAAATCCTCCTCAAAATGTGAAATAATTATTAAAATTTAAGAAGTCACCTGTTTTTCACATTACTAGTCGCGGTCAATTTTACGTACCCAAAACGATAGATTACCAATTTAGTCTCTAGAATCTAAATCTAAGTCATTTGTCGTCGAATTTCTAGATTACGATTCATAATATTAGGATGATAATATAATCTAATAATTAGTAAGATAGTAGATCCAGTCGCTAGAGTTCAAAGACTATACTCAGATAGACAGATACTGGATTACTCGGAAGAAGCTTCTTCCTGCCCCCGTGCTGGTCTGGCCGGCAGAAGATGAAAAATGTATAGATCTAGTATAGCCTAGATCTATTAATTAATGAAGTGGCCTAAATAATAATCTAGATCTAGTAGACCAGTAGTAGCAGGCGGCCTATACTATAGCATATCCGCTATAAGTCATAAGTGTAGCGGCATAGCCTAACTAATTATTTATTATTCTGTATGCAGGTGTATGTGACTATGTGAGTGTAAAATTCAGTGTGTATAGTATATAGTATTTAATATATTCCTTTTTGATCATTGCATTTGTATTTATTCTGAATTTTGCTGTAGGCCTGTCCTTAGTTGGTCTTTTCCATACACATTGTGTATTGTTGATGTTTTGCAAGACGGCTTTTTGCCTTGATGCAATGCTTTGTGATGTAATGAGCATCATAAATGTGGGCAGTAAACGGGGGGGGGGGTGCAATATTTTTAAAATGATTTTGGGACAGCATGTCATATTAACTATTTCATTCAAAGTTAGTATTAAAATATTTAAAAAAGCAAGAAAACTGCATAATTGGAACATTTTATTATGTGTCAAAAACAATCAAGTTATGAACTTGACTAGGTTATTTTATTTAGACTAATTGTTTTTGCATGTGTTATAAATTTAACCATACTAGTACTACTTACTTGCAAATAGCAGAAATATTGACATTAATGTGAATTAAATATATGTTGATTTGTACTTACTGAATACCTATTACATAACTGCATTAGCAAATTCCATGCAAATACAAATCTGTGACTTTTTTTGCTTTCCTTTCCTAAAATCATGTACGACTGTAGGTCCACTGTTGTATGATTTTTTAAAAATTGAGTACTGTCTATTTTCCCCATCTTAAGACAGTTACCCCTCAAAGCTGAGTGGACTCAGAGATATCCCACAATTACAAGTCTGAACCGAGATATGAACTAGAATGGTCTAGCATCTAGCACACACTCTACTGTTCGACAATGCTGTCCCATTATATACAGAAAAAAAATGTGACCTACAAAACTATGCATAACGCATAAATATTAATTTAATAATTTCTATTTATTAGAGTCATGTTTAACTATGTTGTTTATATGAACATAAAATTGGTCACAAATACTTTTTCATATAAAAATATTCACAATTTCAAAAAAAGCGTTGCTCTTTAAACCTACCTTCTTTCACAGCCGTGATAAAAGCTATTATTATAGTTACGTATTAATCCCGATCATATATTGCATGAATTGATAACAAACTGGGAATAAGCATATTAGGACTAATCCCGGTCTCTCTCTCTCTCTCTCTCTCTCTCTCTCTCTCTCTCTCTCTCTCTCTCTCTCTATATATATATATATATATATATATATATATATATATATATATATATATATATATATATATATATATATTCTTATCTATAATCTATATCCCATTTATGTGTTTTCAGCTTATTATAAATAACTATATGAAGCTGAGAAAGTGAATGCCCACTAAGAGCTTTAGAGCTCACCACTAAATTTGTAGATCTCACACATAAGGATTGTGCACATATTTATAATAAAAATGTCATATTATTTACCCACCCCATATACCATTTCAATCAACCATCATGAACCCAAAATTAAACAACACAAAATAACAGTGATAAAACCCTCTGCCCCCTTTTTGTAATAAGCTTTTATTTAGTTCACTATGTCTGTTTGTGGGTTGTGGCAAGTCTTGTAACTCAACTTCAACCCACTTCTAATGCAGCAGTTTCATTCAAACTTTCCAGATACATTTATTTCCTATGACAATGCTAGAATATCTTCTTTTTTTTAAGAAAATTTAATTAGACATTAGATTAGTCATCAAGGGGGTAGGGTCCGGTAAAAAAAAAAAACTTTTTTAATACTCGTTAGAAAACAATTATTTCTTTACAGCTGTTTTAAGGTGCATATACATTTCCACTAAAAAAGTTGGTGAAAAAATCTTGATAACTATGGCAACGGTGGCCATCTTGAAAAATTAACTGCTTCGTAGGTTTTCCACCATTCATAAAATATATTTTAAGCCCAATAAACAATGAGCTCATAATGTTCTACCATATTTTGGGGTACTCAGCTAAATCTTCAAACTAATTTTTTATGAATTTTCAAACTGTGGGTCTGTTAAAAACACTAGTTTTAATGCCCCAAAATAAAGTGTTTTGAATGGACACAAGTTTTTTTTTTTTTCAAGTTTTTGTATCTAGTGTATTTTTTACTTTGATTCTTTTTTTAGTCTTGATATCCATATTTTTCTTACTGTAGTGTAGTTGCACTTTCAATTAAAAAGCTTTTGTTGACGAATTGAGCAGATCTAGTAACAGGGGACAAAGGATATATCTTAATCCTGGAGGTCCTGTAGAAGGGATTCATCAGTCCCACATTGTGTTTACTCTGCTATTCTTTTGTTTCTTCTTTCGGTTCGACTTGTAGTCTCAAATCCCCCAGTATTTCACATTACTCAGGAGCAGATTCAAGATCAGAGAAGGATGGGGAGGTCAAGAGAAGATCAGCAGAGAAACGTCTTTCAACAGAATCCACAGACAACTCAGCGCCCACCAAAAAAATCTCTATGGGAATAAAGCCAGCAGCAAATCAGAAAATCAGCTTTAATTTAGGCTCCCCTGGTCTGCCCAAGTCAAAACCAACAGTCGCTGGTGTTCCTAGCAAGGCTGCTGTGGCTCCTATAAAAATGTCTTTAAATACAGTTCAGGTAGTATAGATGTGTGTATGTAAGTATCTGTAACTTGAACTCCACACAGCTTGAAAAAATGGTACTACTTAAAATGCTAACAAACTATTATTAAAATCATTTTCTTATGTGCTGAGATGTTGAATACTTACAATTTTTGAAGATAAATGTAAAATTGTATCTTTTAAGTATCTTTTTATATATGAAGAGTCCTCCTGCAAAATTTGTTAAGTCAACTTTTTGAAAAAAATTAGTTATCCTTACAGTACAGCCTTGTTAATTAAAAGGCAATTAAAGTATACTAAATTTTGTTCTAAAATGTATACTAAAATGTATAATAAATTATGTAATAGTAAAATCGTAACAATAGTTAACCAAAAGAAAATTAAGAAATTATTATAAGAAGCAAACACAACAAGCAGTGTTTTTTTAGCCTTGGCTTTATCAGAATGAGATAACGAAAAAATTAAAACATTACAACTGTATTACTAATATTAATGTTAACCCCAACCTATTGTTAATTGTGTTCCAGAAAGACAAAGATGTTGCCCCTATTGTACAGAAGAGTGCTCTTGCAGCCAAAGTTTTTGATGATTCAGATGATGTAAGAACAAAGATGTAGTAGATATGGCTTTAGCAATAGATTTAATCCATGTCAGCTCCAAATGCTTGCTTTTTTTGTATGTAAAACTATGTCAGTTTATAATTTAATCCTGTTCTCATAAAATTCCAGTCCATTTATGTACAGTACTTATTTTTTCTGTATGATGTGAATTGTTACAGAGTGATGGGGAAGAAATGCCACCAGAAGCTAAAATGAGAATGAAAAATATTGGCAGGTATGTGCATGTGTCTTCTGAGAAAATGGCATCTGTTCTTTTACTATTAAAAAACACCATCATCACATCAGCTCCTTTCTCTTTATGTCTTGTAACATATCAGCACCTATGTTGAGGTTAGAAGGCTCTTGATCAATTATTGGTTGTCCTAAAATGATGGCACCTTTTCTGTTACTATTGAAAAATATAACATATGCTCTGTTCTCTATATGTTTTTAACATATCAGCACATATGTGGAAGTTGGTAGCTCCTGATCAATTATTTGTTGTCCTAAAATGATGGCATCTATTCTATTACTATTGAAAAATATCACATATGTTCTGTTCTCTATATGTTTTGTAACATATCAGCACATATGTGGAAGTTGGGGAGAGTCTTGATCAATAATATCTTTTACTTTTTAAAGTGTAAATTAATCTTTTTCTAACAGAGATACACCCACAGCATCAGGTCCTAACTCGTATGGAAAAGGCAAACAAGGATTCATAGACCGACATAAGATCATAGAGAAGCAGCTGAAGGAGGAAATGGAGAGGGTGTCTGGGGATAACGAGAGGCCAGTGAAGTGAAACTAGTGACAGTTGTGCTGATGTTTTTAACTTGACTATGCCATATTTAACTCATGTGTGATGAATGGGAGTATGCCTGGGATATTTTTTATGTGTTATCATACATGTTCTATAATATATGTTCCTTCATATGATCAACATTAAAGTGTTCTTGAAATTCTACATGGCTGTTGTGTGAGGATTATATTTGTTTGTGGGTCTTCATTCATTTATAATTATATATAATCAATAAACCGGGAGTGATCTCCCCTAAACTTTCTCGAATATTCTTATATAAAATAACAGGGAATGGGAACTCGGGCTATAGACATGATTTTTAATCCATTTTAAATACTTAAAGTTTTAAAAATAGAATAAAATCTCGTAGACAAATTAATTGCACACCAAGTGAACGTGAAATAAAAAAGCGCATAATAGTGCGCAATATTATTATTACTTTTAAAATTTACATTAGTTTTTTGAGAAATCGGAAGTAGCGTAAAGTACTACTTCCAGTCAACGGAAATGACTCAAAATTTAACAGAAGGTAGAGAATTAGATCTTTTACTTACGTATGAAATTTCGTTTATCTATCTGAAATAGTACTCAAGTTATAGGCTTTTGAAAAATTCAAAGTAGGAAAAGTACCACTTCCGGTTATCGGAAATCGCTCAAAAGTTGATACGGATCTACGATTTTGATTAAATACTTATATATGAAATTTCATCAACCTAGCTGTAACGGTACTCAAGTTATCGTGTTTACACACGGACAGACATACGGACAAGATTGCAAAATTATGTTTTTCCGTATCAGTGAGATGCAAAACGTCGAGATTTGCAAAAATCTCGATTTTTTTTTTTTTGCACGATTACAAGACTTTCTCTATACTTCGTATATACGAGAAAGTAAAAAGGGGAAGAAAGGCCTTAAATATTATTAGGTAAATATTGTCTTCAGGCTTCTGCTTTGCAGCTGAGATTCACAAATCAAAACTCTATTTAAAAATCGAAAGTTTAAGGTGATGTGCTTTATTTTTTAAATTGCCTCATATAAAATACGAAACCATAAGTTAACTCCCATAAAGTTCAGTCACTTAATTATAATAATATACCAAATCTGGCCCAAAAAATATTTAAAACTTCATGTTTCTGACTTACTACAAATCACTGATATCACTTTTAATTCCCTTGTTTCAACCAATGAGATGAATAGTTGTATTAGTAGGGGAGACAACAACTCTGTATTTAATTTAAACCATTTAATGTGACAGTTAAATCAGATTCTTCAGTTGTCCTATAGACAAAGAGGAATTGAAAAGGTAGTTGAATCGCTGCCAGGACTCCCTTAAATCCCCCACTTTTCTTTCAGCCCCTCTATGGTTGTGTAGGACTGTATTGTTGCAGTGTCCAGCTTGCTCAGCAAACCAAACTTTCCTTTTGGCTTTTCAAAGTCTCCATTAAATCTGGGATCACAGGGGTGGCTTGCTGGTTGCCATCTGTCAATTTAAAATATCTGTTCTTCATTTGTTGTATAAATATTTTCATTACAAATAGTTTTACATCAACATGTGTACATATTGGCAAAGTTCTTTACATAGTTAACATGTGTACAGTTAACACAGAAGCTGAGTAATAAACTAACATTTCATTAATTTGAAGTCTGACAACTAACTGTCCCATTGATATAAAATTCTCACCTGGTATCACAACTTAGCCGGGCATATTGTGTGGTGTTGGTAGTGGACATATGGACAGTTCTGTAAACAAAGAGTGATTTTATTCAGTTGAGTCGGTTATGTTTTTGGCGCATAAAAATATTTATAGGCCTATTTTGTGCTATTAAAACCCACTTTAAAATGTTTATGTTTTATGCCATTGAAACCCACTTCACCATTACAACTAAAGGGCAATAACTGCCCAGAACAAACCTCATGTTAAAGATAAGAACATCCCCTGCCCTAAAATCTGTCGTCTTCCACTGTCCACCAAACTTTTCGGTGATTTCAAAAGGATCTTCAGTTAACCAGCCGGTTCCTAGCTAGGAGTGAAAATTTGTCAGAATCAAGTGAGTATTACAACAAGCTCTAAGTTACTTCTTCAAGGTTACATTACACCCTGACAAAGATATAGCCATATACCACACTACACTTTGAGGGCAACCCCCGGAGGAATGGTTCAGAATTAGCACTTTTGCAAATGTTTGAAACTGAATTTCAGCTGATTCTTTTGCCTGTCTTGAAGATTTTGTATGTTGGCCCAGCTCAGTTGATATTTTAGAAAGAAGTCGCCGTTTAAAAAAAAAAAATAACTAAATGTGGGTGGAGGTTGTAGCAGAGGCGTAGCGACCCTTCCCGGCGCCCGGGGACAAACTTTTCGATTTGCACCCCCCCCCCCCCTCAAACTTTCGATTTCCACCCCACCCCCCCCCCCCTTCGAACTTTCGATTTGCACCCCCCTCAACCTTTCAATTTATTTTTCCAACCCATTTTGGCGCCCCCTAAGGTCGGCGCCCGGGGACATATGCCCCCCCCCTCGCTACGCTACTGGGTTGTAGTCTAAATTGTGACGTCATTTAAGGGGACAGGTTTTGCTTTTTTTAAGGAGAGGAGGGGATAATCAAAAAATGCTTTCACGCTTTTGACCCCCAATATACACACCCTGGATGACTTAACGATTTCAGTTAAAAACATGTAGACACTGTTTGTACTGGTGTTAGTTAACTTAAAAAAACCATCCAACAGACCTTTTAGTCCTATCAGTTCAGCGTCCATCTCCCCATACGTTGACTGCATTCGAGAGAAACTAAAAGAAATACGGTTTGAAAGAATAGCAATAATACAATACTATTCAGCATTCGTTGTCACTAAAATAATATTATTTTTTAATTTTTGAATATGGTGGGCCACTAGATCACCCCCCCCCCCCCACCCTTCCTCTTATTTGCAGTGAAATGTGTTTAAGTTTTTTTTTTTTTCTCTAAATCATGCAAATGGCGACAGTGGTAACTGTAAAAAAAATTGTTTTTTGTAAAAACATGAAGTATCGGGAAATATAATATTCTCTGGTTCCATATTAGTCAAATATGGGGGGGGGGGGGTAATTTGTAAATTGGAAGGAGGTAGATTCAAAGGCGTAGCGGCAGAGGCGTAGCGACCCTTCCCGGCGCCCGGGGACATACTTTCAATTTGGCGCCCCCCTCGGGAGCAAATTTTCGATTTGCACCCCCCCCCTCGAACTTTTCATTTGCACCCCCCCCCCCTCAAACTTTCGATTTGCACACCCCCCCCTCGAACTTTTCATTTGCACCCCCCCCCCCTCAAACTTTCGATTTGCACCCCCCCTCGAACTTTTCATTTGCACCCCCCCTCAAACTTTCAATTTGGCGCCCCCCCTAAGGTCGGCGCCCGGGGACATATGTCCCCCCCCCCCGCCCCCCCACCCCCCTCGCTACGCCTCTGCGTAGCGGCCCATTCTGACGCCCGTGGCGAACTATCAGTTCTTGCGCACCAACGCCCATGTATGAATAGTTAATCACGTTGGCTAACACCCCCTCCTCGACAGTTTTTATTTTAGTGTCACACAACATGTGAAGAAAATAGTTAAATAAGTCAGTAAAACCATGGGCAGTCTATTGTTGTTTTTAGCGCAATTTCCATACGGACAATTGCGATTATTAACTCGTCATTTCTGGATGGATGGATGAATGAATGGATGTGTGTCCGCAGCTTTAAGTCGTATCTCCTCCTCAACGAAGCAACATCGAGGACTAGTTCCAAAAGCAAATATGTTAAGCAAGTTCCGAGGATGATTGTGGGCCAAAAAAATTCCCGGAATTCCTTCCTGGATTTCCCGGAAAAGCCAAAAAAAAACTCGAAAAAATGCATTTTTTGGCCCATATCTCGGCAACCAGACCACTTAGCGACTTGAAACATTTACCAATCGATTCCTGCCATAATTTAGAACAATATTGCCGAAGAAAGTTTTCAAAAATACCCTTTCGTTCGGTCACAAAAAATTCTTAATATATTTTAAACTGAGCATCGTGTAGGCCTAGGATGATGTTTAAACTGAGCATCGTGTAGGCCTACTCGTTAAAATAAAACTATTTCCGTTGATATAGGTTAATATAGTTGTCTTTTTTTAGCGCAATTTCCATACTGGTTTCTATTTTGTTTTGAATTATTAAAACTACTTGTGTTGCATTATTTATTTGCTGAATATATGATTTATCTCGATTTAAAATTGTTATGGATAACATAAGGAAATTGCGCTTAAATTGTCACTAGACTTTTTATTAACTTGTTTTTTAATTTGACTGTAATGCTGTAAGTCAAATGTACGTTCTGTACTCCTCTATGCTGCAGAGTCATGGAAACTAAATAAGAAAGGAGACAGCCGACTCAGAGGCTTTGAAAGAAGATCTCTCCAACGCATCATCAGGATAAAGTGGGACGACAAAGTCCCGAACAAGGAAATATGGCGAAGGACAGGATTAAACGACATTGTCTCAGAAGTTAGAACGAGGAGATGGAGATGGCTGGGCCATGTCTTACGCATGAGGAAAAAAAGACTCCCCAACATGGCGCTGAAGTGGAACCCACCCGGAAAGAGAAATAGAGGAAGACCACTGGGAACATGGAGGAGGGAGATGGAAGAAGAAGTACAGGCTACTGGCAAAACCTGGCATGAACTAAAGTGGCTCGCCCAGGACAGGGTGGAATGGCGGAGATTTGTTGTTGATGAGGATTAAGTAAGTAAGTAAGTAATGCTGTGAGAATGAGCTTGTTTTTTCTACACCGTTTGATGCTCCCCAATCTTCGGCAGCCCCACCCGCCCTCCCCTAGCTACGCCTCTGGGTAGATTTTCCATATATGCTAAGAAAAGTGTTTCTGTTTTAGTGTAAGTTGAAAGCTGTATCGTTACCTCGGCAGACTATTAGAACCCTCACAAACGGCCAAGACGCCCATCTCAATGCTGACGTCACCAATGGGTGTCCACATCGTCAGCAGATCTTTAGAACCACGTGACATGTATACGTTGTCCACATGAGCGCCGGTAAATCCTTCATGGTGCATGGCCCTATGGGTGGGTTGGGGGGGGGGGGGGGGGGGTTAGGAGTTAAAATTTGTTTTAAAAAAAACATGCATAGTATTTTTTTTTAAAATAATGTGCAAGGTTGTGATATTAATCACTGTTTCTATTATTTGACCTATTCGATTTGAAGGCCAATGTGTAACTTTATTACTGAAAAAAAAAAAAACTTTTCATAACACGAAGTAGCGAGACCAACATCTGGGGGGGGGGGGGCGGAAAGGGGGGGGGGGTGAACATTTACTTCATGTAAGGGCTCGTTCATAAGTGACGTCTCATTCCCGGGGGTGGGGTCGGGTTTCGACTTATGTGGTAATGTGTGACGAAGTATAGTGGGGATTGTTTATGAAAATGGGACGTTACTTTAGCGGTTTAAAAGGTTGCTTTTTAAACTGAGTTATTGCAATTATTTTAATCTTTTAAAAGTCTTTTTTGTTTTATAAAAAAAAAACATGATTGTAAATTGATGAGTGTAACCAAAGCGACTATTAGTACACATTCAATAACAATTTCAGTATTAGACTTTAGACATCAGTGACGGTGGTGCTTTCAACAAAATCTTCAAGCCTATTAATAACATTAACAGATACATTGTTTTTTGCAATATTCCCTAAGAAAAGGGAAATAACTCATAAAGTCATACGTTTTAATTAAGATAAAGTCGTTAAAATAGACAAATTGCAGATAGGGGGGGGGGAACGTTACTTTTAAAAATTGTGATGAACTGGGTCTAGTTTTATGCGACAAAGTATGACAAAGGTAACGAGAGGGGGGGGGGGGGAATGAGTTGGCAAAAAAAACATGACGTCATTTATAGATGACTTATAACAGTAGAGGCCGATAAATCTGGTCACACATTCATAAATGGAAAAATAGCAATGAAATGCGCAAAGCCTGCTTACCTTAGCCACTTGTAGTCAAATGTCTTCACGTCTTCGTTAAAATATTTCTTGAAGAAAGCAAAAGCTGATAGGGAGAAAAAATCAGTTAGAAATGATTATTTTTTTAAATAAAATTAAAAACAGACACATAGTATAGAAAATAATTATTGTTTAGCCCTAATTTAAATTTTGGTTCAGTTTGACTTCATTTTTTACCAAAAATTATCATCTGTCGTTTATTACTTTCTCGTACATACGAATTAGTATAATTTGTATCAAAAATGGAAAAAAAGCGAAAGGTTAAAAAAAATATTGTATCATTTTAGTTTTCTGTTATCCCAGATTATATAGCTCTGTTTATAGTACCAAACCTCCCACAGCCCACCAATCCGAATTAAAAAATCATCCCTTGAATCATCATTCAAAAAAAAATTATAGAGAAAGTCTTGTATTGTAATCGTGATAAAAAGAAGTCGAGATTTTTGCAAGTCTCGACGTTTTGCAGCTCCCTGAATCGGAAAAACATAGTTTTGCTATCTTGTCCATATGTCTTTGTCAGTGTCTGTAAACACAAAACTTGAGTACCGTTATAGCTAGGTTGATGAAATTTCATATATAAGTATTAGATCTATATCAAAATCGTAGATCCTTATCAACTTTTGAGCGATTTCCGATAACCGGAAGTCGAACTTTTTCTACTTTGAATTTTTCAAAAGCCTAACACTTGAGTACTATTTCTGGTAGATAAATGAAATTTCACATGTAAGTAAAAGATCTAATTATCTGCCTTCTGTCAATTTTTTTTTCTGTGGAACGGAAGTAATAATTTCCGATTTCTCAAAAAAAAACAAAAACGCATGTGCTATAAAGTACTAATAATATTCCGCACTATTATGCACATTTTATTTGGCGTTCACCTGGTGTGTAATTCTTTTTTCTACGAGATTTTATTCTATTTTAAAAAGTTTAAGTATTACCCATGAGATATTTTCTCCACTGCATATATTTTCTGTCAGCCCGTTCGATGACAGAGTTCTGCAGTCCGCGCTTAACGACAGTTCACATGAAGTTTACGAACAACTAACTAAAAGGTACTCACGTCGTGTGCCCTCAAGCACGCGCAACACCGAGTCTTTGTGGGAGATCTCGTTGCGACCCTGGAGAGTTGAATAAATTAGTTTCATCCTTGTTAAATACATGGTACTAGATTAATGATAGAGCGCATTTTACTTTTCAAACACAAGCAGAGGCGTAGCGATGGGGGGGGGGGCAGGGCGGGCCATATGTCCCCGGGCGCCGACCCTAGGTGGCGCCAAAATGGGTTGAAAAAACAAATTAAAATGTCATTTTAGCTGCATTTTTGCAGTTTGAGGGAGGGGGGGGGGGGGGCTGCAAATCTAAAGATTGAGGGGGCGGGTGCAAATCGAAAGTTTGAAGGGGGGGGGGGGTGCAAATTGAAAATTAGCTCCCGAGGGTGGCGCCAAATTGAAAGTTTGTCCCCGGGCGCCGGGAAGGGTCGCTACGCCTCTGAACACAAGTAACTGTTATGTAATATATTTTATCTTTATTGCGTTAAAATATTCCAACCTGATACAAGTATGACTGGCAAATGCCAATCCCTTTCGCCCACACTCGCAAGCACCCCGTCTTTTACTCCATGATTCGCACCCCCACCAGCCCCCACATAACCTGCTCAGTGGCGTAGCGAGGTCGGGTGTCACCCGGTGCGGCACTTAATGGTGTCACCCCCTCAGAGGCGTAGCGACTCTTCCCGGGGACAAACTTTCAATTTTCGATTTGCACCCCCCCCCTCAAACTTTCGATTTGCAACACCCTCGCACTTTCGATTGATTTGCACACCCCTCCTAAAAATTTTCTCTATATATTTTACTTTTTTGCCTTGGTGTCACCCCCTAATTGATGTCACCCGGTGCGGTCCGAACCTCCGCCCCCCCCCCGCCCCTGGCTACGCCTCTGGACCTGCTAACACCCCTACCCTTACCTCCATAACAGGCAAACATCTCCATCCTTACCTCCATCACAAACACCCCCTTCCTTACCTCCATAATTGACAAACACCCCCACCCTCACCTCCATCACAAACACCCCCACCCTTACCTCCATCACAAACACCCCTTTCCTTACCTCCATAATTGACAAACACCCCTACCCTTACCTCCATCACAAACACCCCTTTCCTTACCTCCATAATTGACAAACACCCCCACCCTTACCTCCATCACAAACACCCTCACCCTCACCTCCATCACAAACACCTCCACCCTAACCTTCAATACAAACACCCCCACCCTTACCTCTATCACAGGCAAACACCCCCTTCCTTACCTCCATCACAGGCAAACACCCCCACCCTTAACTCCATAACTGGCTAACAACCCCACACTTAAACTCCATAACAGGCAAACACCCCTCCCCCCACCCTTACCTCCATAATTGGAAATCACCCCCTTCCTTACCTCCATCACAGGCAAACAACCCCACCCTTAACTCCATAACTGGCTAACACCCCCACACTTAAACTCCATAACAGGCAAACACCCCTCCCCCACCCTTACCTCCATAATTGGAAATCACCCCCACCCTTACCTCTATCACAGATAAACACCCACTTCCTTACCTCCATCACAGGCAAACACCCCCATCCTTACCTCCATCACAGACAAACACCCCTTCCTTACCTCCATAATTGACAAACACCCCCAACCCTTACCTCCATCACAAACACCCCCAACCCTTACCTCCATCACAAACACCCCCATCCTTACCTCCATCACAGACAAACACCCCCACCCTTACCTCCATCACAAACACCCCCAACCCTTACCTCCATCACAAACACCCCCATCCTTACCTCCATCACAGACAAACACCCCCACCCTTACCTCCATCACAAACACCCCCATCCTTACCTCCATCACAGACAAACACCCCCACCCTTACCTCCATCACAAACACCCCCATCCTTACCTCCATCACAGACAAACACCCCCACCCTTACCTCCATCACAAACACCCCCATCCTTACCACCATAATTGGCAAACACCCCCACCTTTACCTCCATCACAGACAAACACCCCCACCCTTACCTCCATAACAGGCAAACACCCTAACCCACATCCTTCTTTCAGTACGCCATCATTGAAAGGATGATCAGAGTCCAACTTTCCTCCGAGGCTGTCAATGTACTTCAGCACAGCCTCTCTTGCCGCGAGCACTTCCTGTCTGTCGTGAAACCCCCGGATCAGCAGATACCTGTGCGATGATCACATTTATTTAAATGCAGATGTATCTACTCGGCTAAAGATGAGCCCTATTGCTTTATTTTTTTTTTACTTTAAGGCAAAGCGTTATTTGGTGGTTTGTCACACTGTACATTATTCAAGGGCGCCACCCAATAATTATAGATATTTCAACCTGTATTTAATAATGCATTTGTATGGGTATTCTATAGAACAGTTGGAATAATCTCTTTATTACATACTTTTCTTAGGCATTCTATTAAAAGACGATGTACTTCATTCTATCAAAGACAAGCAAACTACAATTGTGAAGAAAGAGTGCAGTATCTGTACTGGATAGGGGTTTAATAAAAAGAATACGTAGAGATTGTAAACATTTGTAATTTAATTCTAAGAGAAATAATATCAAGGATGAAGGATGAAGTAGAGAGAATGCGTTTGTGTGAGTGTCAGTTTTTTTTATGCAGTAGGCGCAGTTCTTTGTGTGAAATCTTCCTGCTCGCAGTATCCACATTACACGACTGTTCCCTAACTTCCCTGCCGTAGCTGCCATGTTGTGTCTTTAGACGCTTGAGTTTGCTGAGGTTTGTCGAGGTGTTGTTGGTTCCGTTGGTTAGTTCAGTGCAGTGTTTCTTCCAGACCTTTTTCTCCGGGGGGAAAGCACTTGATATTTTGGTGTTGTAGATGACTCGCTGTATTGTGACCCCTGTTGCTATTGGTGTTGTAGATGAGTGACTGTATTATGACCCCTGTTGCTAATGGTGTTGTGGGTGACTGACTGTATTGTGACCCCTGTTGCTATTGATGTTGTAGATGAGTGGCTGTATTGTGATCCTGTTGTTATTGATGTTGTAGATGACTGCTTGTATTGTGACCCCTGTTGCTATTGGTGTTGTAGATGACTGGCTGTATTGTGACCCCTGTTGCTATTGGTGTTGTAGATGAGTGGCTGTATTGTGATCCTGTTGTTATTGATGTTGTAGATGACTGCTTGTATTGTGACCCCTGTTGCTATTGGTGTTGTAGATGACTGGCTGTATTGTGACCCCTGTTGCTATTGGTGTTGTAGATGAGTGGCTGTATTGTGATCCTGTTGTTATTGATGTTGTAGATGACTGCTTGTATTGTGACCCCTGTTGCTATTGGTGTTGTAGATGACTGGCTGTATTGTGACCCCTGTTGCTATTGGTGTTGTAGATGAGTGGCTGTATTGTGATCCTGTTGTTATTGATGTTGTAGATGACTGCTTGTATTGTGACCCCTGTTGCTATTGGTGTTGTAGATGACTGGCTGTATTGTGACCCCTGTTGCTATTGGTGTTGTAGATGACTGGCTGTATTGTGACCCCTGTTGCTATTGGTGTTGTTGTGTCTTCGGCGGATTGTGGTGCTGGGTTGTGGTTGTCGATTGATGTGTGGTTGCTTGCAGTGTTGTGCGGAAGTACAGTGTTGACATACTTGATTTCTATCTGGGAAGGCTATGAGTTTGTCGCTGGATTTATTCGTGTAATTTATTTTAATGTAATGTGGGATGGTGGATGGTTTCTCAGGGAAAATGTTGAAGTTGCTATCGTTGGTGTGCGGGATGGCGTTTATTGAAGGTTCTAAGTACTTGCTTGAGTCTATCTTCGCAATGTGAGGGGGTGGGACCCATCTGGGTGTGCCTTTGACGCTGTTTCATGTGTGGAGAATTAACGTAGAGTGTATGGTCCATGCGTCTTGGTGGTGGTGTTCATTGCTGTGATATCGAAGCTATCAGAAAATAAATACCATTATCTTCCCTCCCGTAGTTGATTAGTTCGATCTGGTGGTAGCTGATTAGTTGTCTTGTAAGTCCACACAGTCCACGGAGACTTTGTTTCCCTCTGGAGTTGATGTACACTTGCATAGTTGTTGTTGGGTGGAACTTTAGAGCAGTAGTTCCCAACCTTTTTCGAGTGGCGACCCCCTTTTATAAAAATTAAGTGACCCGCGACCCCCATAGAATTAAAAAGCCGAAATTAGTATGGAAATTAATAAGCACTAAAATAACATTTTCTAGTAGACTTTCAATATGAACTACTCTTGATAACTGTATTAATACCATGAGTAAAATTGCTTAATATTCACTAAACATTCGCAGTTAATTTTTTTTTCAAGTATTTTTTTTTGTTAACACCAACCTAAGTCATTATCATTATCTTAATTTTGTTTTTAATCGAAAAATAGTGTTGAAAATCTATTCTCAAAAAGTCAATCAATTTTACGTTTGGGTATGAATGGTGATTACTACACCAAAATTGAGTGTGCAGTTTTTTTATCTTACGCGGAATCATTCTACAAATCAAAGAATTCATCTTGTAATTCATCGTGAATGCTGGCAACATCGAGGGAAGAAGAGAATGGATAATGCGTCAATGCAGATTCTTTTTTTTTTTTCAGCTCAGAGAAATAGCGCTGCAGTTCGTTTTCACTTGATTCAAGATGCCCAGAAATTTCTTCCTTCAAAATTTCAATTATCCCACAATTAGATTCATCTACCACACTGCAGAGTTTCTCAAATTTACAATATTTCCAAGATTTATTTTCTTCGCCGATTTTGCAGCTTTGATAAAAATGCCCCGAGATAATCATGGAAAGTGATAATATTCGTTCATTTTCCCTGAAGCTTCAGGTTATGCTTATGTTGATGTTCGAACACATCTGCTAGGTATGATACTCTCTCCAACCACTCTATGTCGTTTTAAGTATACCAAAAGGTCTTGTTTCCTTTGCATTTCCAAGAACAATTTGATTTCAGATTTCAATTCAAAAACACGATTCACATCAATTCGTTTGACAACCAGCGCACTGTAGGGTAGAAGAGCAGAACCTCGTGATCTTTATTCAGGTCTTTGCTCAGTTCTTTGAAGGCTCCAGATTTTATATAATTTACCACTTATACCAGCAATGGAGTCTTGATGGCGATTGGTGAGGGCAGTGGTTAGGGAGCTAAATCTTTTCTGCTTTCTGAAAGCCCGATTTTGACCTAAACATAGATGGTGCACCATCCCTACAAACCCTCACAGCCGTTTTAAACAATTTTAATCATCCAATTTAAAAAAAAAACGTATTTTTTTTTCTCCATGCTATCTTCACAAAAGAGCAACTCTTCTTTGCTATCATCTGAATGAATATAGACACAGACAAGCAACTGCGAACACGAACTCGCGTCTCTTGATTTATCAACTTGAAAAGCAAACAATGGTGAAAGTTTAATTTCAATAAAAATGTGTTATTTAACATCTACGGACATGAAAGAATTAATTTCACCATCTTCAACATGCAGCGTTTGATGAGATTTTCTCCTATCGTGTTTTTTTTGTTTTTTTTTTATTGGCATTTTCTGTCGCGACTTCATGTAATGCTTGCACTAATGCTGTGTTTCCTTGGTGAAAACTTCCTGTTCGATCAAGTCTCTGACGTTTGCGACTAGCTTCTTACCGACGAAAGAATTCCATATGTTTTTTGGTGTGTTTCAAATGACTCGTCTCAAATGACGTTTTAGTTTTGAAGATTTAATAAACTCGTGACTGAGAACAACTTTGTACAGTACGCTTTGCTTCTTCTCTATTCCCTTTCCAGTGCTGTTAGTAAAGCCGAATTTCAAACATTCTTCTAAATATTTATGTTTTGTTTCAAATTACTAAGGTTTAGTATACCAGTTGGCGACCCCCCAGAAAGCCCGTCGAGGGGGGTCGCGAACCCCAGGTTGGGAACCCGTGCTTTAGAGACAACCTTTGGGAGCTTGATAAAGGTCCAAATTTCTTTATAACACTTTTTAACCGTCGAATTGACACTATCACAAAATGGAGAAAAGTGAATTGGTTTAGCAGGCAGATACAACACTTCGTAAACGATCAGAAGTTTTATTTAAAAATAAAATTATAAAATATAAAAATAGCTTTTTATTATTTGAATATTAAAAATATATAATGCAATTTTAAAAACAAAAGCGTGTCTTAAAGCCGCTTTTATTTAAATTTAGTGCTCAGGGCTTTATGCGTTAAATACAACCAGTATTTTAGTATCTTAAAAAAACATTTCGCTTAACAATTCGTTGTTTTTTACTTTCTCGTATATACGAAGTATAGAGAAAGTCTTGTAATCGTGCAAAAAAAAAAAATCGAGATTTTTGCAAATCTCGACGTTTTACATCTCACTGATACGGAAAAACATAATTTTGCAATCTTGTCCGTATGTCTGTGTGTCTGTGTGTGTGTCTGTGTGTGTGTGTGTCCGTGTGTAAACACGATAACTTGAGTACCGTTACAGCTAGGTTGATGAAATTTCATATACAAGTATTTTATCAAAATCGTAGATCCGTATCAACTTTTGAGCGATTTCGGATAACCGGAAGTGGTACTTTTTCTACTTTGAATTTTTCAAAAGCCTATAACTTGAGTACTATTTCAGATAGATAAATGAAATTTGATATGTAAGTAAAAGATCTAATTCTCTACCTTCTGTCAAATTTTGAGAATTTTTCGTTGACTGGAAGTACTTATTTACGCTACTTCCGATTTCTCAAAAAACTAATGTAAATTTTAAAAGTACTAATAATATTGCGCACTATTATGCGCTTTTTTATTCGCGTTCACTTGGTGTGCAATTAATTTGTCTACGAGATTTTATTCTATTTTTAAAACTTTAAGTATTTAAAATGGATTAAAAATCATGTCTATAGCCCGAGTTCCCATCCCCTGTTATTTTATATAAGAATATTCGAGAAAGTTTAGGGGAGATCACTCCCGGTTTATTTTGTTTTGTTGACTCAAAGAATTGCATTATACATTATTTCCCTTTTCACATGGGACATAACTAAGAGCTTTTCGTTCGAAACTTCACTAATATTATTCTTTTTACTTTCTCCTATACGAAGTATTGTGACCGTGCACAACAATTAAATGAATTTTTGAAAGTTTCCGCCGTTTTACACCTCACTACTTTATCGTATAGGAAAAATAAAGGATGTATTGTAATCTTGCAAAAAAAATATCTAAATCGAGATTTTGACACATTTTGACAATAATTCACATTTTGGTTTTGCAATTTTGTCCGTGTCTGTCTACAATTTGGTAATTATAAATTCTAAAAATAAAATTTATGAATAAAGTAGTTCTGAGTCATTATTTAGTGTATATATATATATATATATATATATATATATATATATATATATATATATATATATATATATATATATATATATATATATCCATTCCTTCTTAATGAAGTTGACTAAAATACGACAAAAATAAAACATTTGCTTTAAACCCCGATCCGTAGCTTGCGATCTCCTAAAGGCCCTAATCTTAGACTATGGTCGACCCTCAATCGTGAAACTTACCATCCGTGACCAACAGTCAGTTCTCCGCCTTCGCGTATTATTTAAAAATATGTTTATCTCGCTCTATTAAAATTTAATTTAGTAATCTTTTAATTAACTTATTATAATTACTATTTTAATATCTAATGTCTAATGAGCTTGAAAATAAAATACTATCGTGTTGTCTTCGGAGACGAATGTATATTGAAAGTAAATATAATCGCTGCATTAGAAGTGGATGAAAAATGAATTACAAGATATGTTACAAACCCACATACAAACAGACAGTGTTTCTTCCAGACTTTTTTCTCCGGAGGGGGGGGGGGCACTTGAAATTTTCAGGGGGGGCGGTAGACTTTCTTCGGGGGGCGGGCAGTATATATATATAAAAGTATATATTTTCTAAATAAATTATATAAATTTCATTTGGTCCGGGGGGGGGGGGGGGCGGTAAAAAAAATTCTGGGGGGGGGGGGGCGAGAGATGCCTGGAAGAAACTCTGCAAACATAGATAGTTAACTACATATAAGCTACATAAAAGCTAGTTTAAAAATAAAAAGCCCCACATTTTCGGAGATTTCCGTTTCACAATATATTCTCGTTTTGGACAAAAACTCACAGCTGTTGGCCTCTAGCATGGGTTATTAAGTGTTAAATATTTTCTCCTGAAAGTTTAAATTTAACCCACCTACCCTTTGTCAGTCATTTCCTGGTGTAGGGCACCAACATCGTCCAAAAGATGGTTACAACTGTCCATAACCTGCAGCACATCGGAAGGAAAAGGGACTATCCTTTGACCCAGTTTCACATAACGTTGATCTGTCGCCATTTTATTCGCCTATTTTCTCTGCTGAAAAATGTTCTTATGACTTTGTGCATCCATATATAACAACTGTAATTACGCTGAATAAAAGACAGTTCCCTTCCTTTCCCTACTGAGAATTGCTTACCGATATTTTCAGCCGTGTAAGTTAAGACACGTAAGCGGCATGCAGACGAGATCTTGTAAACTGAGTTGCCCTCCGATTGATAGTGATGTTCTTTGGACTTGATTAACGGTTCATTCTAAGATAATAGCTGGTCGTGGACAAAGGATGTAACAAACACGATATGTTGTTTAAAAATTATTCACACTACTTATACTGCCATGGGTTTGTAGGGAGCAGAGCAGTGTTTCTTCCAGACTTTTTTCTCCGGGGGGGGGGGGGGGGGCACTTGAAATCTTCGGGCGGGGGGGGGGGGTAGACTTTCTTCGGGGGGGGGGGGCTGACACTGTTAAAAGTATATTTTTTCTATATAAATTATTTAAAGTTCATTTCGTTCGGGGGGGGGGGGTAGAATTTTATCGATGCCTGGAAGAAACTCTGGAGTAGAGCCGTCCCAATAATAGACTTATGGCAGGGGCGTAGCGAGGGGGGGGCGGGGGGTGCGGACCGCACCGGGTGACACCATTTAGGGGGGTGACACCAAGGCAAAAAATAGCAAAATATATAGAGAAAAACTCGAGGGGGGGGGGGGGTGCAAATCGAAAGTTTGAGGGGGGGGGGGTGCAAATCGAAAACTTGAGGGGGGGGGTGTAAAATCGAAAGTTTGAGGGGGGGGGTGCAAATCGAAAGTTTGAGGGGGGGGGTGTAAATCGGAAATTTGAAAGTTTGTCCCTGGGAAGGGTCTCTATGCCTCTGGGGGGTGACACCATTAAGTGCCGCACCGGGTGACACCCGACCTCGCTACGCCACTGGACTTATGTGTCAACATTGTCACGTGAAGGTATGCGCGTATGAGGGGTGTTTGTGTAGCCTACTATAAATATTAAATAGTTTACCCATAAAGAGCATAGTGAGGGGTTTTGTGATTGGTGGTCTCAGGACAATTCAGCAATCACCTGTTGCTGATTCTTCTTAAAGTGACTGCTATATGCCATATTGTATATGTTTTAAACAAAAATACATATAGTCATATGGCTATATATCTAACCATTACACGGAAAACCCTGTCATTTGATAACGGTCTTTTTTATCGATCCCCAACACACACATACACACACATCACCGTCACAAATGACACAACACTTCAACATAATTTGCTGAGGTGGGATTCTGGAGTTTCTGTTTTAGAGTATGATTTCCCACTACTTCCAGTCTTGTGAATGGGGGGGGGGGGGTGAGGATTTTTTTTTGTTTCTCTTCTTTCTTTCTGAAATTAGAGCAGCTGATTTCCTGATTGCTCTTATTGGTTGTGTTTTCATAGCTCCTGTCATAATTCTCAGTCCAATATTCTTAGTTTGTTGATTTTGCTAACATTTTTTTTTACTGCTGAGCCCCCATCTGTTGCGTTATATTCCAGTGTTTGCCTGACATAGACCTAGCTGGTGTACGTTTTTTTAGGATGTAAGAATGTAATGATGATTGTTGATTGACTCCCAGTCTGTGCCTGTTAGTTTTCTCATTACTTTAAGTAGTTTAATTCATTTACTTTGGTTATTTTCAGTTTGCTTATCCATGGAAGTCGAGTGTCGAAAGTGACGCTAGGTAAGTGGGGTAGTCATTAATTTTCTAGCACTGAGTCGGATGTTTTGTTGGTAATGTGAAGATTGAGTGAGCTGTTGTTGTTTTTTTTTTACGTTAATATGCAAACCCCAGTTTTGGCACATTTACTGAGCTCGGGTGTCACCCTGTGCGGGAACTCACGGTGTCAACCCCCCCCCCCCCGAAAGAAACCTGTTATATATATATATATATATATATATATATATATATATATATATATATATATATATATATATATAGTTGCAGTTGGTGATATCCCCTTCCCATTTTGCCTAACGGCGTTAATTTGTGCGCACAATCCACAGTCATATTAACTCATGTGGGAAAGCATCGTTTTCATCGTAATATCGTAAGTCATTAGATTTTGGTGTCACCCCCTCTACTGTTGTTGATACTAAACAAGCCTTTATTACTCTCTAAATTTTGCAGTTGGTGTCACCCCCCCCCCCCCTCCCGAATGATTGTTTTAAAGTGTAGTTAATAGTACAGATGGTTATCTATTGTGAGTTATTAATACAGTTTGATTAACTCATATTAATCATTAATTGAACTGGCAAAAAGCATATTTCTTCTATATAGTTTGCAATTTTTCGCCATGGTATCACTATCACCTCATAAATGGTGTCACCTTGTTCGTTCCGCACCCACCAACTCCGCATCACGACGCCTCTGGCAGCAAGTACCATAAGGCATAAGGTGTAATGGTGTATGGTTTATCAAATTATGACGTTTCCCACTGTAACACTCTTTTAAAGTTAAAATTTCTTCATAATTAAACTTCTAATTTGTCTTATTTATTGAAATAAACCAAGAACAAGATTACTTTCAACTTTCATCGTTAATATTAATATTTTTAACAATGTGTTTGGAATTATTTGTTCTAGATCTAGATGTACATTACATCTGGACATCTAGTATGACCGAGTTACTTAAAATTTTGGAGTCTTGAAAATGGCGATCAAAACATGCACAGTTGACCTGTCAAAGTTATTTTTACGTTTACGCAGTTGCTCTCTTCTTTTTAATGGTAAATATAAAATGTTTGTAGCCAAAGTTTCTTGAATAAGAGTTGTTATTGCCCAATGTCCAACAGACCATAAATTACCGTGGAGTTCCTTACATGTCCGTGAACCGTCTCGTCTGACTCTCGGAACTCTGGAAGTCATGATAAAATTTAATTTTATTATTTTGGTTAGACCAAAGTTTTTAACATTATTTCACATTTTTAGGATGATTTGTTTTGGAAGTTACAAAAAATTTTCAAAGTTTCATTCAATATTATTAGATCTAAGTTTTTAAACAATTGTATTTGTATTTAAATACTATTATTATTAAAACTTTTCAATAAGCCTAAAAAATAAAGACTAGATCTAGCGAAGTGGCTATTCGGACCCGGGTCATAATAGCCCCGGCCGCTATTAGGACCCGGGTCCCTATAGCCTTGGCTGCTATACTGACACGGCATTGTTCATTACACACTCGTACAACCGGTAATAAAATAATACCTTTTATGATTTATGTTTAATTTTTCTTGTGGATTTGCTAGTATTTTGTTGTGTTTTAATCTAATTAGCTACGCGGATTTGCTATCGTTAGTTCTTGTCACAAGACTTGTGTTGCTATTTCTAAATACCATAGATTTAGCTGTATATACAAAATCATTAAATATTAATTAATTTTGTGAAATGTCGTAGTTGAGTGGAGAACACAGTGCCTCCCGCATCTCGATCAGCTACGGGATCGGAACCGATCTAATCTCTTGTTTTTGCAAGAAGTAATGTGTATTTAACTAAGTTTAATGTTCAATCTTGATAGCTGAGTAGTTTGCATAGGTGACCCTTTTTTAAATTGTTTTTTTTTTTAGTTTATATATTTTGTTTCTAGATTTAGGTTTTTAAACACACCAATTATAAATATTGTTGCTCCATTCTCCATTGATCACCCGCTCACATTTTCTCATCAGTGCGAGAAAAATACCAACACAGTCTAGCTAGGGTCACTGTGAGTTCAGCTTGGTTCAGATGTGAAGAATGTAGGCGTATAGCATACGTCATAGCAAGACCATTGCTTTGAACTCGTCGAGATTTGTCATCGTAGTCGCCCCACTCTAACTTACAGATGACCGCTGTTTATAGATCTGTAGCAAATCTTGCTCACAAACACTGCTGTTTAAAGTTAATTTCTGGCCTATATTGATATATTTAGCCATTGATTTTGGTTTATTATTCAGTTATCTATAGCCTAATATTTGACATATCTATAGCCTAATATATCACAATATATCTATTAATTAAAGCCTTAACAATGAGACAACTGTTTCGCCTATTTCTAGCCTTGGCTGATTTTACGCACCTAAAACGATAGATTACCCATATTTTAATTCAATTTAATTGTTTATTTTATTATAAATATAGGGCTAACTAGGCCCTATAATTTTTTTTTTTATTTATTAGTTTCAATAGATAGGCCTAATAGTAATAGTATTTAAAGTTTTAGCTTTTAGTTTTGAGAGTCTAAGTGGCTTAAAGTCTTAAGTAATTTTAGTTTTTAACTTTGCAAACCTCTTGAGGAAAATAAACTGAAATTTTTATGCCTGCTTGATTCTTCTTCAATCTAAACTTGGATGATAAATGTCTCAAAACTTTTTCTGCCTCTAGAACAGTCTACATTCTCTATTATAATTTGCCAAATTTTAAAGGAAACGGCACATTTAATTTAATGACTATTTAATTAATTTTGTGTATAAAACAGAAATGTGCAGTTCTTATTATTCATTATACTTTATAGTTTACACTCCATACTAGCAAACCACCCCACTTCTCATGGTTGCCAAATTAGGGACAAAGGTAACACAGTCTATTTCATCACAACTCTGTGTGGTGATTTTCAGTTGACATTTTCAGAGATATGTATGATGAAGATGAAAGAGGTTTATTTGATGATTAATGTAACAAAATAATAAGATTGTAGGCCTACTTTTGGTTATTGCAATTGATTGGAGATTGATTATTTTAAAATTAAGCTGATAGAGGAGCTGTGCTGGCCTTTATCTCATGCCAGCCTCAAACACTTTCATTTTAAGTTGTCGTAGTGATATAATTCTAAACTTGGAACCGAACCATTGACAGTCAGCTATACATTAGTGACAATTTCTGTGTCAAAAAAAATTTAGACATATATCTTAAAAGTAGTTTTCTAAATATCCGCTAAAAGTCATAAACTTTTCACATAAAACTTGTGGAATATGGCCAGCAGTCTTCCTTACAAAACAGCCACTTTTGTATCATGTTTTTTTTCCCTACTTTCTTTTAGGGCCATCAACAACAGACAGACATTTTCACAGTAATACTTTAGGAAAAGCATGTCACTTGCAGAAATCCTGTTTGCAGAATCTTCCAAGGCACCGCAATTCACCAACATACAGCTTTCCTTTGTGGAATTCTCGACGCTTGAAAAGCACTGCACTTTCAGACAGTATAGTCAGCTGGCCGTTGGGGTAATTTATGTTTTGTACAAAATTACTTTAACATTGTATTTGTATATGATTAATTACTGTTTTTTTCCTATTAATTATTTTTTAATGTATTTATTTCTCAAGTAAAAGATTACAATTAGTTGTTGAGGGGTTTGGACATGGTTTGTTTTTCCCTTCAGTTGTTTACTGCTTTGCCAAAATTCATCCTGTTGAAAATTCAATGATACAGAATATTACTTTAACTTAAATGCCTTTAGAAAACTGCATATTTAGTCATGTTATATTCTTTTACCCGCAGAACACTAACAGTACAGCCACTGAAATATAAAATTACTTAAAAATAAATATTTTTTAAATGTTTTAGAGCATGTGGTATTGAAGAACTGGAAGATTTTACACCTCTGACAGATGAACAATTGCAGCAAGGTACTGTGCATGAAAGTTTATTTATACTTTATTTTATTCTATTTGTTAAGTGATTTGTAAATTGTACATTGGTTTTGACTGCCGCTCCATATAGTTATTACTACACATTAAAATAATCGCACAAATACAGCATTTGTTACACATTTACTGAATGAAGGGAGCTAAACTATAACTTTAATCAGGTATAGGGGAACAAATCAACAAAAGCCTTGAACTAGGTGAAGCAGGGAGATTATTTGCTGTAGTGTATGTCAGAGGGCACCAGCATAAAGTCACAACAGAAGATGTTATTATTGTTAAACATGATTTCCCTCCTAATGTTGGAGACAGAATACGTTTGGAAAAAGTAAGCAAATAATTGGTGTTTTATGTTTAATTCAATACTAATGTGTTAGTTAAATACTCAAATTTTGTGGTTTCTAAACATTGTAAAGGAAGAGGTTTTGATATCATATTTTCAGTTTAAAAACCTATAATATTTTATCTTTTTTCTGGGATGGTGATTATCAAGTAGTGCACATCTGTAGGTTTGTGTTGGTCATAGCTAATAGGTCCAGTTAAACCATTTTGAGTTTAAAAAAATACATGTTTCCCAATTGTATTTAGCCTTAAGGGGAAATACAAATAATTGAAGTATAATGATTAAACTATTACAGGTTCTTGTAGTAGGTGGTAAAGATTTCAGCCTTATAGGTCAACCAATGTTGAGGTGAGATTTTTAATATTATGAATAATTTTTAAAAAATTCTACAGACATTGTAAATCTTGTATTACTTTAACTACTCTTAATATCTGTACTCAACAAAAAATAAAATAAAAATTCTGCAGTTAATTACCAAAGGAGGATCTTTAATAATTTAATTATAAAATCCTAGATGCTTGCATATAGAAATTAAAATAAGATCTCAATTAGCAAGTGGAGAACTATACAAACATTATTTTTTATTTACATGCTAACAATTAGTGGCTCTAGAGAAATTAAATATTCATTAACATCCCTAAATTCAGTATGATCATCTTTTAAGTGGAAAGTTTTTTCCACCAATCTTAGGCCATAAGATAATACAAATGTTAACCAACAGGTGAACAGTTTTATTACATATCTACTAATGTTAATAACTTCTGTGTTTCAAGTCGTGATGTTGTGAGGGTGGATGCTACTGTAGTTGAAAAGACATTATCACATAACAGAGTGTGGCTGGTTTACAGGAAAAGAAAAAACTTCCAGAGGTTTCGACGTAAGTTATGCTTTTTTTTGCTATTCATTGAGGGCCATTGGGCCATTTTATTTTATCTTGTATTCATTAACAATTATATTCATAACCAAAATAATTTATTTCCAGTGTATAGAGAGTCATTTACCATGTTGGTGATTAACTCAATTCAAGTAGCAAAACTCCCCATTGAATCGGTTGGTGCCATTGAAGAAGAGCAGAAAGCGAGGATAGAATAAATAAAGGCAATTAAAAGAATAAGACCATTTCTACATTCTTGTACATTTTTTTAATTGCTCATGTTTGATTAATAAACAGCATAAAAATTCACAGCCAATAGATATCAATTACATCACCAATCAAATTGTATGTACAAGACTAGATTTCAACACAGAAAGTATCCCAAGCTATTTAGTTATTCTTTAAGCATATGAGCATATCAAATTTACAAAACACCAAAATATGTCAACTACAGTAGTGCTTTAAGTTTTTAAAATTTTACCAAAAACTAACCCTTACACTTTATACACAACAATTTAAAAACATAACAGTATTAAAATAAGCTAGCAGATTAAGGTACTGTTTTTGACTCTAGCTTTACTAAGCAAATACCCATACAAAAACATTGCCTGATCTCTCACATTCCTGCTCTCATCACTTATACACTCTTCCATTAAATTCCCCAACAATGGCTGAATTTTTGCTGGATTATACAAACAAACCTTCACCATGGCCTCTAATAAACAGATTTTCAGCACTTTGTTTGGTTTGGGTGATTCAGATTTCTCTTCATTCAGCTGGTCTAAGATGTGTTCCAATATCTTTGGGGCGTTGTCCATGTATTCACCATAGGATTTGATGAGTTGCAAGAGAGATAACTGTCCATTGGTTGACTCAATCTCAGAGAAGTTGTTTTGAATTACTTCAGCAAGTTGTGGCCAGTGACTCTCATCAGAAAATGTCACAGATGACAAAACCTGAAATATTTAATTAAAAAAAAACTTACCATTTAATTAATTTGACAATGCTGTAAAATAAAACAAATGCATACATTTTAAAGAGAGTTGCCCAAAACTGAGTCTGTTGGAAAGGTGTAGCTGTAGCACTTAGCTCCTCAGGGGCTCTAAGAAACTTATGCATACATTTCAAAATTAAAAATATGTTTCAAAGCAAGGTTATTTTTGGCATTGGCATAATTTATCCTTGAAACATATCTTAGGAAAATGGCTTTAAAATAATGTTAACTTAAGACTACTGAGTAGGATGAGTTGACATTTTCTTTCAGTACAGGTAATTGAAACAAAAGCCTTCAAATTCATATGTCAGTCATAATTTTAAAGACACCAAAAAAACACATAATACATCTAAATTGAAACATCTTTATCAACTTTTCCCGTTCATGCCCTAGACACATGGGGCAGATGAAGTAGAGTTCATCTGTTTCTGGGGCCTCGGCATTTGAAGGGATAATGTGGTCAGCACCATGCCCAGTCGCCTAACGTGAGCTAGGTACCCATCAGGGACGTTCTACTGACTTGAACCCGGATTTGAACTCCAGACTTTCAGGTTAGCAGCCTAGCTCTCTACCGCTAGGCTACACTGTCACCGCAAATTAAAACATACTGGTTGTATAAATATATTTTTTACAAATTTAATTTTATAATTATCACACAATTTAAACAAAAAAGAATAATAGCCCTGTCTTACAGAAAATAGTTTTAGTCAAAGAAAACCATGAATCTCCATGTATTCTAAATGTAATTTCACTTCATATCCTCAAGTAAAACATTTTAAGCAAATAATGTATATTTGTTAAGCTAGTACAATACATTTATATCTTTAAAAAAAAAAACTACATTTTTTAAAAGTCTTTGAATTAAATATCACTCACCTCTAAAACACACTCTGTTATGCCAACAACTCCAATTTGAAAAAGTTTCTTCACAAAATCAACACAGAGTGAGTTGATTTCTGGTTTCAAGGAACTTGCTGCAGCAACACTCCATACCATTTCTTTAACTGTTTCAAGGTCAAGCCGCCTAGCAATCAACACAAACTCATTAAGGATGCTATCAGCATTATCCACTGTGATTAATTTGCACAAGATTTTTATCTTCTGTTTCATCAGAAACTGAGCATCATCCTCGCGGCAACAAAACTTGCTGTAATCCTGCTCCAGAACACTACTGGGAAAGTTAGTCCTACTTAAATAATCAATGACAGCCGCAACCATTTCCTCGTCACGTTCACGGGCCAGATGCATTTTTATACACTCCCAGCTTGTGATATAAACCTTAGTCAAAACTTTGGGTAAATCAGAAGTCACATGACTAAATAATTCCATTGTACACAAAGCGTTTGTCAGTGAATGGCTCTTTGATAGGCAATCATCAAGCAAGTTTAACTGGTCAAACACTAGAGATTTTGTTCTTGGTGAATGTTTTAAAAGAAACTGTAAAATAAATCTTTGAACTGTGGGTGTATGGGAGAAAAAACTATTGATCAGATATAGACCAAGTTTATTTGAAATTACAATACCCTTTTCACCTGTGAATATCTCTTCTAGGGCACACAGACAACTAGCAACTGTAGATGAATCTGAGTCATTTAAATGCCCATATAAAGAGTCCCAAATACCACCTTCTGTTACCATAGTAGGAGAAACTCTGTGTAAATGTGCAGAAGCTAGGGCTGCGCATCTTCGCACATGCTGACTGTTGTCATCAAGACCTTGAATGACAGCTGCATTCAGCATCTCTACAACCAAGTTGGATTGTAAAGACCCAAGTAATCTCAAACCAAGACTCCGTACGACAGGGTTCACATCTTTGCAGTCTTGCACCAAAGTGTTTGTGGCCAACAAGACCATCTCTGGGTTATTCTGAGCAAGTATTGTAATGATCTCTCCAGCTACACGTTTGATGAAAACATCACTTAGAGCCAAAAGTTTAACAATAGTTGGAAGAGCTGATGTTACATCAAAGCCACTAGTCTGAAGTGAAAGAATCTGAAAGCAGTTTCAAAAAACATAAATAAAAGAAAGAATTTATTTTATGAAGATCAGTGGTAATTTAAGTTCAATTAACTTACCATCAGTCACTTCAATGAGACTAACTAATGACTTATGAAAATTTTATTAATACCATTGAATGGGTTGGACTCTTAAATACAGGTGTTATTCTACTGAGAAAAGCATATATGTTAAAACAATCTATATTAATACCTTGAAAAACAAATTTAATTCTTTCAGCAACAATGCTTGCATGTCTATTAACTCATAATTTTGTAAATTAAAATTCTACTGTACAATTTTTTGTTACTTTCACTTAATTTTCATCACTGCTTTTCTCTTCATGGGTCTTTAACTCTTTGCCTTTATAGGATTCCTCCCATATCATTACTTGTGTTTCAAAGCAAAATATTGCTCATATGACTGCTCATGTTTTAAAAAAATCTTCAATGTCAGGGCTCTCAAATCTATAGTTCTACATATAAATAAAAATAAGTTTATCAATTATTAAGCATGCCTACTCAGTTCCTACTTGATTACTAAAACAATACACATGGGCCCTCCTAATATAAATAGGCCCTACTAATATAGACTAATAATATACTTAGTATGTTATACACTTAATTATAGATCTCTTTTAATCATAATTAATATTAATTAATAATTAAAATTAATAGTAATAAATATTTAGGGGCCTATAATTTTATAACTAAGTTTGGGTGAATAATCTCTCTCATTCATGCCTCATGCATCCAACCATGATCCTGTCACTGCTGTGACTGTGCGACTCCCTACAGTGCCCTACACTGATGACTGTCTGTCTGTCACCGTGTTGGTGAGAATGTGATTGTATTGTCACAATTGTGAGATGTTTTGGCCAAATTTTTAATTAATAAAATTTAACAAATTCCTCCCTCTAGATTCATAAACAATTAATCAGCTCTATTTACTAGTTATTTAGTTACCTCATAAATGCACACTCGTATTACTTGTAAGTTTTTTTGGTTCTCTGGGGCGTTTAATTTATTTAGCAAAGAAGTCAAATCTTGACTGTCCGCCATTTTGAACAATAAAATCACGTGATATGATAAAATATATTTAAATTTTAAAAAAAAACCTTATTCCCGAGACCTAAGCCTAGCTTAAATGAAGTGTAATATGTTATTGAAACGATAGGTTGTTTTTTTTTAACTTAATGGATTTAAATGTCATTCTTTCACATCACATTTCTCCCAGTGTTTCTTCCAGACTTTTTTCTCCGTGAGGGGGGGGGGGGGGGCGGGGGGCGGTAGACTTTCTTCGGGGTGGGGGGGGGGGGGGCGCGAAGAGATGCCTGGAAGAAACTCTGATTTCTCCTCTATTTTTGCCTATCAAAGCGCTACAAAAACCAACGGTGCGTCTTTTTTTAAATTTCAAATAGAATTTAGGTCGACTACAGAAATACTAAAGAAATGTTTGCATTGAATTTCTATGTATAAATAATAGTATTAATAGTTAATGAAAAGCATTTCTTCGCGGAGCATATCCACAATTTAATATTTTTTAAAAAATCCGTAGTCTAAAAAAAAACCTGCATTTGGACGGCATTGGGGTAACCATACGACCTACCCTACGTCAGTCTAACTATATCTATAATCTATAGTCTACAACCATAGTCATGCTAAAATAAAAAGGAAGCCATCATGCTAAATTTGAATGCAATGGTTAGCCGTTGTTATGCAAATATTGATTTTTCTAAAAATGTATCAGGTTTTTCTTAGATTCTGAACATGATTATTCCCCCGCCCCCTCTTCCCACCCCTCATAGTTCAATGGGAACCTGGAAGGGAAATAGGCCACGTCATGAACACAGCGCGTGGAAAAATTTTCCGAAATGTTTAGCCAATCAGATTCTACATAAACTTCATTGTTAGCGAGGTTAGCTTTCATTGGTTACTTCTCTCAAATAAATTGCAGCGGGCCTCAAACAAGATTCAGTTGAAGCAAAATTTGGTTTACGGAAATCATTCCCACAAATTTCCACGAACTTGGTACCATTTTAAAAAAAAAAATTACCTTCCTGCACCTCAGCTTATACTTTATACCTACTTAGTCCATCAAAACTTTCAAAATATTTCAGTTTTATAAACCTTAAAAAACAGAAGTCGACGATTTAATTTAATGGAATTATTCATTCAAGATTTCATCTCATCAAACAACTACGATGACTTGAAACAGGAGGACATTCTAGAACGTCGTATCTCGCCATACGCCACTCTTCGTCCCGGGGATTTGGCTGCACTGTTAAAGTTATCGACTGTACCCATACCCTTGTCATCGTATGCTCATGGTTCAGGTAGTAACAACCACAGCCAACGTCCTTCCATCAATACCATATTTGAGAAGAAACGAACTACATCAACAGGAGACAGCGATGACGAGAAGAATGAGGAGTGTGTTGACGTCGTTTGCAACGCAGCCGACAACGGTCATGTGCCAACCCTGTATGTTGTTAAAAACATCAAACAACACGAGATGCCCGTGATTGGTAAGAGTCTAGTTTGTACATAGTAGTGTTCGTATTGAGTATTGTCTATCCTTAACTAGATCTATATTTTTAAGGGCCTACTTTCCGTAGGTCTACGCTTTAAAAACAAAAGGCACTTATCTGTACTCAACACCAGGCTAATCAAGGGAGGCTAGAGCTGTTGCTTTACCAAAAGTTATAGATAGATCTGTGATACTTTGCCCTGATAAGCTGCTTAACAACTATTACGGGTCCTGTATTTTTAATATAATAAAGGAATGGGCAAACTAAGTTGGCCTGTGGTAGTCATGTAGTAATAGTGAGCCTAGTGATATGCATTAATACTTAATACAATTTGAATAGCCTATATCAAACTGGATACCCACACTGGTAAAAGGGAAATAAGTCACGACTCCCCCACCCCTCCCCCAGTGCCAAAAGGCAATTAGTAATTACTAAACAATAGCAACAGCTTCTTGATTCCCAGCTTGTATAATGTATACAAATACATTTGAATACTGACATAAATCTGAAATGGCAAGTTAACATTATAACAGTGCTTTGGCTAATTTTAAGATGTAGGTTATATTCGCTAAAACTTTACTTTTCCTAATAATTGTCTTCGGTAATGGTAGGTATAGAATCTAGTCCTATTTGTTTTAGGCCTTAAGCTTATAGAGCAGTTATTAACTAGAAGTATTCATATGCATGCCTACTATTATATAATAACAATTTCTTGTACACAAATAATGGATAATAATAATAGACCTACCCTTTTTATTAAACAAAGCATCTTCTAACAGTTTATTAAGGAAAACTATGTGAATATCTTGTACAATGTGAGCTTATGAGAATGAAGCCTTTTTTTTCAAATTTAAAATAATTGGTTGGATGTACAAACCAGACCATTGTTCACCTTCATGGCATTGAATGATTAGTAAATTGTACCACAAACTATTGTGCTAAACAATTTGAGGTTGGACTATTGGGTTGGCACTTTGTATGGTGGATGAGGGGGGGGGGGGGGGGGATTAAGCTGAATTCTGAGGCTTATGACACTGTCTATAGTATGTTATTAATGCAATGGTTGTGGAGGTATTTTATTCTTATGTTAACACATATCTTCATTATCTCCTCAAATATCATTTATTCTGGAATGTATGTATACTTCTTCTGGAAATTTTTAAAGATGTTTTGATGAGCCTCAATTTCGACAAAAACAAAAATTGATCATGATCTGTGTTCAATTCATAGCAAACATTTATTTTTCATTACTCAGAAAGTTATTTTTAAATACAATTTGAAGACTTTGAGGCTTGTCGTAATCTTGTCTTTGCCATGTTGCTATTGCCAATCTTTTGTTCCAGATGGTTGACCACGGACCTAGAGGTCCATCATTGAGAAATGCCCCTCAGTGACGGGCATTAAGAGTAACATTGTCTGCTGACCTTGTCAGTAAATGACAGTAAGACTTAGCATCATTCATGTCTTTATCATCCATTTCTTTCTCCTTATCACTGCTTTCATCAACTGAACTAATGTTCATTCGTTGTATATATTGTTGCGTCAGTTTACCTTATTTAATTATTTTTTAACCTTATTGTTTCGTTTATTTATCCTTTGTTGTGTTGTTTTGTCCGAAATTTATTTTACCAATTGTAATGTTTGGTCTTGTGTCTGAATATGACACTTGAAACCACCAGTATAGACACTGTTAGGTAGAACGTCATAGATGAGAAATAAGAGTGGGCTTCTTCTATTTACAGGTTTCTTTGTGGACAAGAGAATATGTCCTGGCTTCAGGTACAAGGTACGACGGGTCAACTCTGAAAAGTTCTTCTGGAACAATGAGGCCAGGTGCCTGGAATCAATCGGCACGGGGTACGGGGCTCGACTGACCTTCTCTGGCGACAAGCTGAACTACAATGAGAACTACTTTTGGTCTGACAGTAACCCTGAGGGGTTTGCTTTCAGTATTCAGGTAAGTTGTTGTTTGTATGAATGGTGGCAGAACAATACAATGTCACATTTTTTTTTCTTCTTGTTTGCTGTTGCTAACCCAAGATTCTCAAGTTCAGGTTATGGGCTTTTGTCTGTAGTATGACTCTTTGAGTTCACCCAGCTCTGATGGGTACCTGACTAAAGCAGGGTCAAGATGTCTGGACTTAGTGCTCACAATCATAAGAGTTACTCTTCTCCATTTGCCTCAGTCTAGCCGAAAGGAAACTTAATTTTGTACTGATAGTGTCAGGGTATGAGATAAGTTTAGGGATATCTGTTGGGTTCAGTGTTATGGTAGTGATTGGCTAAAGTGTAAAAAAAACTATTCCATTAATTTCTAACTAAATGCTTTTTTTAAAATTTAAAGTTAATAATAGTTTAATCTGTGTATTGTATTCAGGCTGTGGATGTTGGTCAGAAGTTCCTGGTGCAGGACAGTGCTGACACTGTGGTTGGAGAAGCTGTGGTGGAGCGGTTCCATGGAGCCCAAGCTGAAACGTCCATGTCTTCCTGTAGGTCAGGGGTCACCAAGCATGTCTCAGTCACCATGACCTGTAAGGTCACCTACTACCAACGGCACCACCATGGACTCAAAGAACTGTGGCGCCACACTAACGAGGAAACTGTTTCTGGGGAGGCTGTTCTTCATAGGCCCAAGGCGTCCCGCAAAGCTAGCTTGACCGCCATCAACAAAGTTTATCTGCCTCGTGTTGGACAGTGCTCCCTCCTGCCTGACTGTTAATTCTGTACATTTGTAAATATTCTCTCTATAACGATAAGCACAGTATTTAGGTCACTTGTGTGATTCTAACATACATTGTGTGTATCACACAGTATTTAAATCTGATTTCATGATTTTAAATTGCTGTGTGAAGCTACAAGATTTTATATTTGATGTAAACTTAAGCTTTCAGTGGTATTTTAATTGGCTAGTAGGCTCTCTTAATGTATGGATGTTTCAGAAGGGTACAAGGTTGATTTGTATGTGTACATGTAGTTCATTAGTGACTTGATTGAGATGTGATTGAGTGAGGTACGATTGAAATTTTACTGCTGCCATTTAAAATTCAGTATTACAAAGCTGAGATTAAATACTTATACAAGATTCAAATTTTTTTGTTTTGATTAATATAAGTTACAGTAGTGTTGTCTTGAGAATTCAGTCCACACAACTCCAATGATGGGTACCTGATTTTGGTCTTACACTATTGTAACAACTACCCTAAAATTTGCCTAAATAACAGTGTGTTTAATTTCTATTTAATAAAACTTCATGATTCTGATTGCTAAAGAGACCTAATGGCTGTTATGTCTACTCTGTACATGAACATTACACTTGTACTGTAATCAAGTATACAAAAACAGCTGAAGTCAATACTGATAGAAAGTACTCTGGACTGCTTATCTATGAATGGAACTATCTTCACAGAAAAATATTTCCCGCCAAGCCTCCATTCAACCACAAGGTGTGGGACACTCGTGACAAGGCAGCTAGACTTAGCTACTGCGTCAATCTTCAGGTCAATGAAGTAGAGCCAAATAGGCAGAAAAAAGGTCAGCCGGCAGGTCATACTGGCGTGGAGAACAAGAAAGGCTTTGTAAATAAAATTTAAAAAATCACGAGTGCTGTGGGGTTGTAGCTTCTCACGGATGAGTGATTTTGAACATTTGCCTGTCGCACATAGTGAACCATGCGTCTCACATTCCACTGAGGCTTCTTTGTCTAGCCACATCGTGTAGAACTTTTTAATAGGGCATGTTTAATTTTTAAATAAGCAGGTGTTAACATTTGCACAGAAACACTGGTTCTGTTTAGACATGAGGGGAGGGCAAGTTCACTCCGAACCCCGGAAGAAAAATATCCCCCCCCCCCCAACCGGAAGTCTCAAGAGTACCCTCGGAGCATATGTGTGATACAGAACCCCGCATAGAGCTGTGCTGATGTTACGTGCTCAATATTTAACGGGCACGAAGATTTTCATGCCGTCTGTGTAACCCACGTGACTGCGTTTTTTAAAAGCAGGATGGCTGCACCTGAGGCGGACTAGATTTAGTAATCCTAATCCGATATGAAGAAATAATAAGTGCCGCCACTACCCCGGCCCGCCTACCATAGTAATTAGGGGGTGGGGGCAAGGTCATAAGTATCTATTGTAATTGTACAATGTTATTTAATAAACTATGGTTTCTTTTATTTCGATAAATAAGTCGTAGTTTGTGGAGGGGTCAGCCAGTGTTTCTGGCAGACTTTTTTCTCCGGGGGTGGGGGGGGGGGGAGGCTCCGCTCCCCAGAAGAGATGCCTGAAAGAAACTCTGGTTGAAGCAGATTTTTATTTTAAAGCATCGCATTTTTTTTAATCTAGTCTAGGCAAGATATTTTTTTTTTAATATTTAACTTCTATTTTGTTAACATCAACATTTTAATATAGAAAGTGTTGACAGGTCTGCGATTCGCTGATTATGATGAATCAACTTAATTGTTCTGACGTGGCGTTACACAAACCAGCAGTGTGTGTGTGGGGGGGGGGGGTATTATGAGCATTGAGGAAGGGTAAAGAAAGTAGTCTGGTAAAGAAGGAGGTTTTTAACATTATATTTGTAATCAGTGTTTCTTTAACACATTTTCTACTTGTAATCAGTGTTTCTTTTATACATATACTTCGGGGGGGGGGGGGGGGGAAAGCCATTGATTGATGTACTATTTTGCATATATTTTTTTTCATTAGGGGGTGGGGTAGGGCAAAAAGCTGCCTGAAGAAACTCTACTTGTAATTAGACCTTTTATATATACATATACACATATACACTATTTGTACTTAATAATAATGAATGCGTGTTGGGGGGGGGGGGGGGCAGAGGGGAGTGGGGTGGGGGTGCTCCACCTAATCCAAACAGGACATTGTATTATTAATTTCACCAAATGCTTGCTGCCAGCGCCCCTGTCACGTGAACTAAAGTGACCTATCAGGGAGGGAGACGTATGTGTTGCCGGTAGTGTCAGGCTATGAATAATGAAACGCTGACAGACACAGGACCACTTAATGGTCTCTACAGCATTCCTGGTCATCTGTTTGACCGTCGGTTGACCCAGATGCCGCGATGCAGCCACTCCTTATATGGTAGTCAAGTCAACGGTGTTGATTGCTTTATTGTTGTTCAAGTTAATGGTTGTCAAACAGCGAAGATACAGTCGAAATAATTCCATGTTATTATAGATCTTGTAGAAAGTATTTTCTAATTTAGTAATAGTTCTGTAGTGCTTTTGTCGACAATTTCAACACAGAACAACTTTCTAAATTGTAGTGAAATAGATTTTTTTTATTTAATAAAGTAGAAAAATATGTTTTATACTTGTTAACTTAAAGACTAAAATTATATTTCATAAGTTTTACAATTTACGATTAAAATATATAAATCTAGATTCTAAATTCTTTTTGGAAAATCATTAGACTTTATAAACATGTTAAAATGTTAAGATTTAAGAGACTGGCTCTCCGGGTCATTCAAAATGAACAGGCGAAAAAAAAATAGCTTACATTAACATTTTGGAATAAATGTTTTGCTCCCCGTTTAAAGATTCATGAAACGGACGACGAAAACATTTTTGTTTACGTAGGAGAATAAAATTAAAAAACAAAACAAAACAAAAAACAACAAGAACTTGCTTGTTTTTCTCATCCCGTCTAGATTTAGCGGTTCTCAAATAGGGAAAACTTGACGATACCACTGTACATTTATTTGATAAAGATTGTAAATACATAGGTCTAGATATATAATATATTCTACGTTTTATGATTCACGAAGAGCAATAATTATCATTCATGTGTAATTTTTATTTAGCTCTAAAATAAATGAATAAATAAAAACAGTGCTCCGGTGCTGGTTTTTTATTTAGGGAAAAATGAAAACACCATCGTTTCTATACTCTCTGACACAAAACGCCTGTCTAGTAAACGTTATCGTAAAAAAAGTAGGCCTCCCTCGGTCTTTCACCTACAACTCCCGGCTAAAAATATTTACCTGACCTCAATAAACAGATACGACCGTGACATCCCAAAAGGGCGAAAAAGTTGTGTTAGAAAGGACAGGAAGCCTCTCTCTATAAATAGACAGTTTTTTCGAAATAACGTAAACAATACCATGTGATTATTTAGCTTAATATATCTAGTAAAGGAGTCAGAAGTGAAGAAAGAACGAATTATTCAAGTTGTTTAGTAGTAATACTTACCTTTTTATCAGTTTACTGTATTTAGTGAAATAAGAGAACCAAGATTGTTTTTTTGTTTTGTTTTTTGTTTACATTCGAGAAGTGGTATAACACATCTGCTTCAACTAGATGGTCATTTGTTTAGTGTAAGCCTAATGGTATCTGCCAGAGCCGGACATTCACTTGTTAAATGGTATCTGCCCTTACGGACATTTGTTCAATGGCATATGTCACATCAGCTTGATGGGCACTTGTTTTGAGTCATGGTATCTGTGTAAGTGGGTTATGTACTGAAGATGTTATTGTAACCCAGTTCAGCATCCCTCCCTCCCCTCCCACACCCGCCCTTTTGTTTTTATTTTAAAATCACGCTTTCTTAGAGTGAACCAATGCACACAACTGCAGAGGCGTAGCAATCTATTCCGACTATATATATGTATATATATATATATATATATATATATATATATATATATATATATATATATATATATATATATATAAATATATATATATATATATATATATATATATATATATATATATATATATATATATATACAAATATGAAAAATGAGGATGGCGACAATACATCCACACTCTAGTCTGACATGAGGCGCAACTTGTAGATTGTCGAGTGAAATGATTTAATGTAGACCGCCGACTGGGGGCCATGACACCCAGGACACCCCCTTGCTGCGCCACGTTTAGTGTAGTCAGTACAAAAAATTTAAGTTATTCGATGTTTTCTTGATATTTTTTTAAGTGCAAGGGTCACTGTTTCATAAACATACGGTGCAGTGTGTTGTTTTCTTGTTTTAATAGATTAGACACTGGACCACCAAAGGGGGTGGGTATACCTAATGCAGACGGCGAAGGCGGAGACGGTAATTTAAAAAATCAAACTGTGATGAAAAAAAGTACTCATAAAATATATTGAACTAACAAATCAAAATAAAACTTTAGAGAAATGTTTTTATGTTGAAAAAAATGTCTAATAGAAGATATTCTTAAGAAATGTTAGTAACAGTTTAAAAATAACCCTGAACGTAGTGACTATATTTATAAGAAATTAGTATTAGATACCATCTGACAGCTTGGAGGATAGTTTTTTTTTTTGTTATTTTTTAGCAAGTTTTACTTTGTTAACCTAATCGTTAACCCCATCTCTTAAAAGTAACACTATCCTGTGTTCTGAAATAGTATTTTCATCAACCGTGTAGGTAGACATACTTGCACTCAACCCCCCCCCCCCCCCCCCCATTCCTCCTGTACTGCAAACTCACTTATTTCCCAGTTATCAACTTAAACACATAACTACATCTCAAAGCCTGCCCCCACGTAGATCACCATGGAAACAAACCCAGTGAATAATCGATCGTCAACTTCATTTTGCAGACTTGCCGTGCTATTTTTAGACCGGGTCGACTCCAAAAAGTCAGTGTCGATGAACTCGATTCGCGCTGGCGAAGCTACACACTACACGCTAGAAATGTGTCTACCTGCATCTACTTATATAGACACGCTTCTTCCAACCATCTCAAGCGTGAGGAATACAGGCCTCGGCAATCAAGCGGTGTTTAGAGCAAACGTTATGTACAGATAAAAGAGAGTGCTAGATTGGCTTCGTTTCTGAGTAGCTATTAGCCTAACAACACAGTGGTCCTCACAACAGGAACTCACAAGCCTCCGTATCATCAGACTGGGATGCGTTCAAGTTAATAGGTTAACGTGCAGTAATGCGCGTCGTAAAAACAAAAGTTATTTTTTTTTAAAGGACATATCTAGAGCGGAGAAGATTTTAGTCATATTACCTATATAAATAATCAACGGTAATATCTCTTAAGTTTTTTTTTTTTTTGAAGAAAAACAAGATCACATGATGCGGTGCTTACGAT